TTCTCAGCAGGATAAAACTATCCTACACACTAAAAAAATATGGTTCTTCAAGGGTTCTTTAGTAATTAAAATTCTATATAGAACCATGAAAACTCAAACAGCCCTTTGCATGATTAAAGTGTTCTTTGCATCGTGAAAGAGTTCTTCAGATTAATGTAGAATGTGCTGTAGATGGTTCTATATAGAACCTTTTTGAAAATAGTTCTATAGCATCAAAATAGGTTCTTCTATTGGTACAAGTTTGGCATCATAACAATGGCAGAACCCTTTTTTGGTGCTATATAGGACCCTTTTCAAAAGGTGCTATATAGAACCATCTACAGCACATTCTCCATCTATCTGAAGAACCTGTTCACGATGCAAAGAACCCTTTTATCACTCAAAGGGTTCTTTGAGTGTTCATGGTTCTATTTATAATCATTTTCTTTACTAAAGAACCTTTGAAGAACCACTTTTAAGTGTGTATGCAAAAATATCTGTCTAAAACTATTTTAGCCCACACCAGAGATGCTGTTACTTAGAAAACATAAAGGCAAACTGTCAGACCTCTATTTAATACACGCTCAATGATTAGCGTACAGTAAAACAATGTATATGGACCTTTTCTGAAAGCATGAGTGAAAGAATTATCATCCTTTTACTGGAAAGAATCTACTATAAAACATAAATATGGGTTCTGCCTAAATAAAATATGGTGTTTGTTTTTGAAATTTGTAGAGGAAGCTGAAATTTTGACATTCTACTTGTGAAAAATAGCCCATATTTTTGTAGGAAGGTTTCCTATTATTCTGCTTACTGTACAACATGACTCCACTGCTCCTGCTGGAACTGAAACTCACCTCTCCATGTCACTGAGGTCTGTCTGCTGTATTCTCCACTAGAAAATCAGAGAAGCTTGTAGAACTTTTGTTGTCTGCAGCTGTATTGCACTTGAGTTTATTGTACTTTACTATGCTCAGCATATTTAATACAGATTTATAAATATCTGTATCTAAATTCTGTTGTGCTCAATACAAATATGGACTACAGTTCCACTGAAACATTCAAATGTGCACATAATTTATATGCAAACATATTTCATCAGCACAAAATTTGCTCTCAGTCTGACAATTATTCAGTTTTATATTGTGCTAGTCATGTGGAAATTATGTACACATTTAAATCAAGTAAGTTCACATCCTTTTTAGACCTCACAGTGTTGAGTTGTCTTCCCACAGTATAAAGATGGACAGAAACACCTGTGAATTTTTTCAGATCTAAAGCAGGATTGATTTCTTCCTCTCTCTCAAAGATGAAAGCTGATATCTGATAGTGACAGTTTTGGTGGTCTACCAGGTCTTATATAGCTGTTAGGAGTGACATTATCTTTTAATAATTGTTTTGAACTCCAGTTTTGGAAACTCCTTTTTTTTCACTTATCTCCCTTTCACCTTCTCTATGCAAGTGGATTATCTTATATCTAATCTCCTCCTCCTCTGCTGAAAAATGAGTTATACATAATGGCTTGTGGAACACCCGTCTGTCTGGCCAGACACATGAGAGAGAGAAACAGAGACAGTCAAGGACCAGTGACGACTGTGTCCTATCGCAGATAACAAGAGTTCAGACTGTCCAGATGGCTGAAATAGCCCACTGTGTCAAATGGGAAGAACTAATTACATACTGCAAAAAGTTTTTATTAATTTATTTACTTTTTGTTAGTAGATTCAAAAGAAAAGAGTAAATGCATTCATTGAGAAATTACAAGATTTATGAAAACAAAAACGTTCTATCTTTGTGCTCTAACATGTAGAGGGCAGCACTGTTATGTTTATTTTTTAAGTATGTAGCTAATTCTAACATTTTAAACATGTATACTGGCAAAATTAAGGTTTTTTTATATTTTCACTCTCGTGAAGAACATGTAGCTTTGCTCTACTCTACACATAATTATGTATAACTGTAGATGTTTGTGTGAGTGTGCACGCAGTATTGATTTGACAGTGCAACCAGTGTTAGCTGCAGTAAACATAGCTAGCAAATAAGGTAATCACAATTATTTATATGACAATCAATCGTCAACTAAAATTTCATGATGGCGACAGCCCTAAGATATCCTTATATCTAATTTCCTCAGAAATATCTCCTGAAAAATAAATAACTGTTACAGGAAGAAAATAACACCTGCTTTTTCAGTCTTAATGTTATCTGGTTAATTTTTTAAACAATCACACAGTATTACCCCAGAGCCTCTCAGGTGTTGAAGACTGTAGTTGGGCTGATCAGAGACACTACTGCTATTTGTATTTGTACTTGCTCAACAGACTGCTGATGTTAATACCATGCTAAACAACCAATCACCAGTCCAGATGGATAAGCAAGCTTATTCATTCACTGACGATGATAAAACTGTCTTAGGTGCTGAAACTTGGTATTGAGCTAAACAGAATTTTTCGATATTAAGCAGCATTGAAGTTGTTCACTTAGTAACATAAAAGTGTTGAAGGTTGATACCTGTTTATACTCTGGGTGAGAAGCAGCTTACCCACTCCGGTTCTATTGAAACACTCTAGCTTTGTCATAAACAGACCCGTAATGATGTTTACAAGGAACAGATTTCTTACTGTGGCAAAGCATTGAGCTCATGGAAGGGGAAAAACAGTCAAAAATGCTCAAACTGCCAACATTTACAGACCAAAGCAATAAGGTATAATTCTAAAGTTAGTCTGCTTGCTCTCTCTCTCTCTCTCTCTCTCTCTCTCTCTCTGTCTCACTCACACACACTTTGTCTCACTGTCTCTCTCACACACATACACATACAGTGTGGTGGAAACAGTTAGAGGAGCCAAATAAAATATCTGTTTTGTTTTTTTTTCCCACTAGCTTCTTCCCGAAGTATACACTGCTGTTTCTCTCACACAGCCTCCGACCACCATGTTTTGGCTCTGCTTTGGAAGACACACACACACGCTCTCAATTAAGGAAAAATGGCTAGCTAACTGGGATGGGTCCAAATTTCCATTATGTGTGTGTTATTTTAGCTCATGTCTGCTGTGTGGGGCTGTCACACTCGTCTATCCGGCCAGATAGACAAACGAACAGTTTTTGCAGTCAAGGACCAGCGACAACTGTGTCTTATCACAGATAAGAGTTCAGACTATCCAGACAACTGACATAGCTGTCTGTGTTAAAGGGGAAATTTGACGATGATATTTACTAGATTTAAATGTGCACTTTATTTTCTGCGTTGAGGAAAAAACAGAAGACATATTTAACAGAGAATGACACAGAAAAAAATTACAAAAACGTAAATATTATCATTTATAACAGCTTCCATTCTTTTCAGACTTGCTTTCAGTTTTTCAAAGAACTGCGGGAATATTTTTCCACACCTCCAAAGTTCAGTCTTAGAAGTTGATTGTTTTCCTATTTCTTACAATCCAAGTAATCCCAAACACATTCAATGATGTTGAGGTCTCTGGGGTGGTCAGTCCATTGTTCTGAGAACACCAACAGCTTCTTTGTTTGTTTTGCCAGTGTTCTTTTTTGTCTATTACCTTTTCTCAGTAAGAGCTTCTTGACAGCTACACATCCATTCAGACCCATAGTGTTGAGTTGTCTTCTCACAGTGGAAAGATGGACAGAAACACCTGTGGATTATTTCAGATTTGAAGCAAGAGTGGAGCTTCATTTTCTCCTCTCTCTCTTTAAAAGCTGTTTATCTGATGGGGACAGTTTTGATGGTCTGCCTTGTTAGGAGTAACATTAACTTTTAATAATAATTGTTTGAACTCCATTTTGGAAACTCCTTTTTTTTCACCTAGTTTCCTTTGACTTTCACCTTCTTTATGCAAGCAGATTATCTTTTAAAGATGAAACCTGAAAGTACTGTTTATCTGATGGTGACAGTTTTGGTGGTTAACCAGAGTCCCATTTTCTCTATATCTGTTAATCATTTTTTTGAACTCCAGTTTTGGAAACTCCTGTTTTTTTGCATGATTTCCATTGACTTGTACATTCCTTATGCAAGTTGATCATTTTAGATGTAACAATATATCTAATAATCTTCAATCTCCTGAAAAATCTCCTGAAAAACAGTTATTTTTTTATGTCCGTTTTGCCTGGAAATTCATTAAATGAAGGGTGATCTCTGACTTTTGCACAGCACTATATATACACTGTCCTGCTAAACACCCTGCTCATGCCAGTCCAAGCACAGTAGCTACTTACTATCTAGTTGGCCGCCTAAATAATTTCATTTGGATGTACATGTTGGAAAACGTCAGCAACGTTAGCAGTAACATCTGTGTATAGTTCTCTGTTCCTGGCTTCAGACATTGACATGGCGGAAAAAGAAGGAAAGACAGCTCCACCGGGTCAGAATGGTTTGAATGGTTATGAACATTAGGCATAATGATATTTCCAATCATATTACAGTAGATGAAAACATTGTAGAGCCCAGACTTCTGCTGGCTGGAGTGAAAATGTCAGAAACACTTCTCACAGTCGTGAAATATGTGTTTTTACATCTCCAAACACATGTTGTTTTTTAGTGAAACTTCCCTTTGATAGCTGGTGCATAGAGTTCAAACGATTTCTCAATACATTTATCTCTCTGTGCAAATCTGCATTGTTCATAGTCTATCAGGCATATAAAACCCATCCTTTTACAAACAGATGGAAAAAGTGATGATTGTGTCTATTACTTTGCATGCTTGAGTTGTGTATTTTTTACTTTTGCTTTTTTAACTCGAAAAAACATTGATTTATTGTTATTTGTTTTATGTTTTCTGTAGGAGTATGCTGCTATAGTGCAAGAATTCTGTTGTATTTTTGAATGCATTGTATTCTGAGTAGATATGACAGATAATCTAACTTGACTTGTAATAGTACTTAATATTAGCTTTAGTGTTAAGCTTTCTAATGGAAACTTTGTGATATGTGTTTGAAAAGGCCATGTGTTGTTCGTTGTGTAGTAATATGAATTGTAGTTGAGTAATTATGTGTGTGTGTTGTTTCAGAGCGGGATTTCTGGGACTCGGGGCTGCAGATTCCCACACTGGACTTTGAAGAGGTCCTCCATGATGATAAAGCTGCTCTGGACTGGCTTATGACCCTAAGGCGCCTTGGCATTGTCTACCTGAAGGGGGCGCCAGTGGAGCAGGGTCAGGTGGCCCGACTCAGTCGGAGGATTGGGTACCTCAGACTCACTTTCTATGGGTATGGAGCACACCTACACACACACACAATTTTTAAGAGAGTCCTTGAAAAGATGTATATAAAAATATGTCCAGCGTTTACTGTGCATATTATTGAGTCTCATTATTGCCTTTTATGCAAACGTTCTGTGTTTGTCCAGATTCCGGATGTGTCAGTTTAGTGTGGAGCAACGTTCAGCACTCAGCCAAGTAGTTTTTTTCCCAAGAACTTTCTGTGCTGTAATAGATGACTCATCGGGCAAACGTAATTAACTCGATGAAAGGATTTTATGGACTAAATGAAAGCCAAATCAAACATCATTTTGTTGCACTTAAATGAATCCTGCTGCTGCTGACCTCTGCTTAAACTGAAGGCTAATGAACTACAAGTGCACTTAAAACTTATCTGTCTCTAAAGTGAGGAATTTTTAATGTTTTAATGCCTTGAGCTTTGAGAATTGTGGGGTTAAAAATGGAGAGAGCATTCATCTGAGCAGGCTGGCACTTTTCATATATTTAAGAGCTCTTCACACAGACGTACAAAAAGAGAATGCAGAGAGACAAAACAGAAGATATAGTAGAAGACAGACAAAATAAACAGAGTAATAAGGAGGAAATGGCTAAGATAGAGTAGAGAGAGCGAGAGAGGATGAGATGAGACAGAAAAACTCATAATGTACTGTTAGCTTCAGTTATAGTCTGTGTTAATGTCCTCCAGAAATCATTACAGGCTATAACTGTCAGTTGTACTGAAAGCAGCAGGAATGGTGTCTCCCAGGCAGAAGAGCAGCGTTAGTCAGTTTTACCTGAGCTGCAGGCCCCCGACACTGGAACTAAAAGTTCAACCACTGCCAAAGCATGAGCTCAGTGTGTAGGAAGCTACTGCAGAGGGAGGCAGCGGTGGCCTTGCAGGAGGAGAGTCCAGGACATGTCTGGACTTTCTCTGACATGACACCCCAGGGCTTTACTGACTCTACTGTCTAGTCTCTAGTGGCCTCTGTTCTTAATCTATCCAGCCAATGTGGCTCTTTCCTCTCCTGCATTCTCATAGTGGGAGAAAGAGTGTCCACTGTACTACTACTACTATTGCATAATGCATTATATCTACATTAAATCTACATTACATAGATTTTTAGTGTGTAATTACACAATTATTACATATTTAATTACATAAAGAATGACATTTATGTTCTGTATTGACAGGAAGTGTGCACTTCCTTTTTTTCCCTATTTATTTTAATGACATGGCCAAAGGTTATTACATTTATATTGATAAAGTCTTTATGCAGAATAAGGACTTTTCATCAAATTTAAACTACAATATCTTCTACTTATGAATACTATTGTGGTATTGTTTGAAAGTGTTTTTGACAGAGTTGCTCTGCTTGTTTTGATGAGTTACAAGTGAGAAATAACAAGCTTCTTTCATCAGGCACCCCGCCAGCAGAGTGCAAATCAACACAGATATTTTTAATTAAGATAATCAAATCAAATATTTTCCCCATAGCTCTTACGTCAGATCGACTGGGACACAGTGTGAAATGCTGCTGTAAAAACAATTCACACCTCTCCACAAAGACGACTGTGCCGAGATAAAATGGACAGCTGCAGCCTTTTTCATATCAGAAACCGTGTCCAACTACCACATTTAAAAAACAGTACTTAAACATAATTAAAATACGTTTATAAATGTTTTAAAGCCTACAAAGATGAAAAGCCAGTTCACTTCTGGTTTTGTACATCATACACGTTTCCTTCAAAATATTCCATCAATATTTTTGAATAAAAAAAAAAATACAAAGTTCAGCTGCAGGACCTCCAAAATTGGTGGAAATTACATTTTATGGCTACCATGTAAAAGGGCTAAACAAAAAATATTAAAAAAGCTTCATGGCTTATAAAAGGAAGTTAACAAGCTTGGACGCCCTGATCGGCTTTCTTTGATTCAACAGAAGTGCAGGGTATATATACAATAGTTTGTCTCATACCGTGAAAGCATTAGACCTTAGAAGGCAAAGTGGTTGCTTGCATAATCACCCACAGCTGTTTATAATCAGGGCAGCACAGCAGCTAAAAAGTAACATTACCTTAATTGTGAGAAGTAGCTAAAAGTTCTTGGAGCCATTCCTCCTTTCTCAATTCATATTTCTTATTTACCATTTTAATGACTTCCTTATGGAACTCCAGCCTCCTCAACGGACTGCGCTTAATACAGTCTGAGTTTGTCTATCATGGTGAGGGTCAAATTATACGGCAGTAATCAGGAGACAGAATTCCAGCCTGCTATGGCCCGACTTTGAGTTTTGTCATGACAGAAATGTCTGTTATGTCCATTTGAGCAATTTCTTATGGTTTTACAATTCTCTCGTGCGGCTACAAAAACACTGTAAGCAATTTACAGCTGCGGTTTCTTACGCTAAAATTCATAGACACAGTAAACTTTAACTGGCCTGAGGACACCTGTTCTAAACTCTTACAATGGTTTGCTTCTCCAGACACACATGGCAAGTGCAGGACAAGCCCATGGCCAACAACGTAGCGTACACATCAGGCAAACTGAGCCTGCACACAGACTACCCTGCCTTGCACCATCCTCCTGGGGTGAGTATACGACCCCCCTGCCACGCACAGGAAGGTATGCATGCATAAGCACGTATGCAGATCTAGTTATATAACCTGGACTTTGCATTGCTAACACTGCAACAGTGAGAACTGTGGAGAACAAACAACAGGAGCAAGACAAGGGTCCAGTTTAGTTTGCGTTTATTAGGTGAGTTATATAAGCTCCTACAAGCACAGCAGTTTATGGCTATAAGCAGTATAAGCAGTCAGTTAGAGACCCCGATCCACCAGGGACAAAGATATTTAGAGAGGTTTGATATGAAATGCTCCATACTAGAGAAACATATCAAGGCCAAGGCAGTGATATGAACCTGCATCTGAGAGCAACCTCATAGAAAATTAGTACATAATATGGTTACAAATACATTGTTTAATGTGTGATAATATGTGTGATAATATGTGACATTGTTTTACTATCGTTTTAAGAAGGTTTTGGCCTAACACCTTTTTAAATAAGCTTTCTTTTATTCATTTGTGGCACACAGGTACATGCAGGGTGTTGTAAGGAGAAATGTTGCCCAAAAGAAAACTTATTCTTTTCAGATTTACACCTATTCTATTATTACCAACATTACATATAAAGCTCAGAGGACACATGGAGGTACACTGGTGGTTTTGGCTAATAAATAAAATGGCTGTAATTGTGTTGTAGACATTGTGACTCCTGGTTCCGATTAAAACCAGTGTAAAGAAATCTGAGTTGATAAGTTTCACTGCAATGACAATACGGGTTTCACATCAAAACATTCTAAATGAGTTTATTTACATCTCATTGATTAAATTAAGCAGAAAATTAGAATATAATATAAGTTCCATCAACTCTTAAAATTTGTCTCATAGTAACAGCCAAGCATGTTTAGGGATGTACAGTATTGTGCATAAGTCTTAGGCACCTAAGCAAACTGTTTAAATCTGTTTATCTGAGCAGTAAATGTGTTTTTTGAATGTTTGGTTCCAACTTGCCCCAGCTATCACATGGCTTTGTGCAATTAACTCTTGATTTGTCAAACCAGGTACTGGATGCTAAATACAATTAAGACTGGGCTTCTTCGAGGAGAGGTTTGGAAATGGTTTTACAATTACATTGGCGTATACAGAATCACTGCCATTTGTATTTATGTCATTTGTATTTATTTATTGTATTAATATTAGTGTTTTTTAACAAATAAACACTTAGTGCCCAGATAAACAGCTTTTTGAATCTAATTTTCTCAGGTGCCTAAAACCTTCCACAACACTGTACATTATAAGTAACACACACACACACACACATCCTCTAAACCGCTTATCCTTCTGGGTCATGGTGGGGTGCTGGAGCCTATCCCAGCCGTCATTGGGCGGAAGGCAGGATACACCCTGGACGGGTCGCCAGTCCATCGCAGATTATGAGTAATAGTCATATCTTTAAGAGTTAATGACTGGATATTTGGTTAACTAAGAGGACAAAAAGCTAGATTAAAGATATCAGTGTAAAAATAACCTTTTAAGGTGTCAAACTAAAGTAATATAGGGAATAATATATTAATAAATCACTGAAATGTGAATTGAAAGTACAGCAAAAGCTTTATTGAACATCGGCACATAACTATATAACATAAGACGTGACTTTTCTTTCTTTATGTCTTATTTTCTCCCTGACTTACCATGATGCAACTTTATCCAAGTAGTGATTTCACTATTCAAATACTGCCATAATAAATCTAGACAGGTTGCTGTCTGTTCTCAGTCCAGGAATAACTCTGTTTGTGTGATTTTCCAGGTGCAGTTCCTGCACTGTCTGCAGCAGGCCCAGCAGGGTGGCGAGAGCGAGGTGGTGGACGGCTTTCACATGGCTGAGCTGCTGAGGAGAGAGCACCCAGATGCTTTCAACACGCTTACTTCCCTCCACGTGGACTTCACGGACACTGGCTCTGACTACTGCGACTTCAGTGTGCAGTCCAAGAACCGCATCATAGAGTGAGAGACTCACATATACACACGTGAACGCGTAGCAGAATACACTACAGCTGCACAAGATATCGGTTGTTAATCGTTATCACAGTTTTGGCCTTTGAAATAATGATGTCACTGAAGGTTACACGCTAACAAATCACTAAGGGCTAGATGCACACCTCCAAATTTACTGTGATGTTAAAAGCAAATAGCATAGCAGTAACAGATTTTCTCATTAATAAACAAGGATTTCTTAGAAGCCAATGATTTAATGAATGATTGAAACAATCTTTTCTATAGTGTTCTTGAATATGTTTGCTCACAAATGCAAGTCATGAACAAATTATTCACATGCACCTACTGTATTAAGGAGCAAATATATTTAATAGGCGCATTTTAATCTGTTGAACTGCATTGCGACTGCAGTCTTAGGAGTATATGAATAGGAAGTTGTCTTGCTTGAGAAGGACTTCAGAGCGCATAACAACAGAATTCAGTATTAAGTACTTTACGGTGACTTTGAACATGCCTCAGCCAGTCCGATAATATAAAAAACAGATATAAATCAAGGAGAGACGTCACTTTGCTCATGATAAAGAAAGGATTATCGTTGTTAAATCAGCACAGTCATGCATTTTTTTTGTCCTGCGCAAATGTTTTTTCCTTCACTTCCTTTACCTTGTCTTTTTTCTTATCCTTTTTTGTCACCACTTTTGACTATGGATTCAACTTCGCTGTTAACTATATTGTGATATAGTTCACGATTGTTTACTTCTTTACTTCTGGTTGGCTTTTACATAATTCACATATAAAAATACTGCAGCAGTAAGGAGAGACCGGTGCAGTTTTACAAATCTGGCCCTATATGTTTTATTGTGCTTCAGGTCCAGATGAGTTTGTGTGGGTATGGATGCGTCCTGACATGCAGTCCAAAAACTGTAAAATGATTTACCAGTAATCTTGTATCAATTGATAAATCAATTAATTTATTTATATGTCAAATCGTTTTTGTTGTTTTGCAATTTTCAGAAATTGTGTTATTAATTAAAGTACAACAAAAATTGCTAGAGAGCTCATTATATATATGTAAACACATAGTGTATATAAATATATAGTGTAATCACAATAACTATTTCATTAATAAACAAATATATATATATATATATATATATATATATATATATATATATATATATATATATATAATAGAAATGCTTGAAATATCAATTTTGTTTATTAATGAAATTGTTGTGATTACACTATGTATTTATATTACTCATTATTGGTGACATCTAACTATTATTATTATTATTATTTTATTTATTTATTTTTATTACTATTGCAACAATATTAACAATAACACTTTAAACAAAACAGTAGCATTCAACATTTAATTGGTTACAGTTAATGATTATTAGACATGACAGATTAGGTGTGTATGTAACATTGTTGTGCTGCAAAACTCATCTCCATCAAGATGGCTAAAAATGTCACCTAGAGTTGCTATAGATGACATGTCATGCCAATGAAAAGGTAACTAAATACTATATTTCTGGCAATATGCTAAAGGAAAACCAAATGTATGCTCTCTCCACAACTCCCTATAATCATATGTTTTTATCAGCTGTTGTATAACTTTGTGTTAATGCATGCATCACTATTTTTCATTGTCATAAAATTAAATCAGTGGCCCCCAGTAAAATTCCAGGGGAATGAATCCCAGGAATGCAGTGATCCAAGTGAAATTTCAGAATAAACTAGACCACTGGCATGTAGTAAGTGTATCAGGATTTGGCCCCATCATTTCATCAGGATTGAAAATAAGAGGGGGGGTGCGTATAGCCCTGGGGCACCTCTTCCCCCAAGTTACCCTATAATGCAAAATACATCACACTCACAATATCTATAGTTTCATTGCAATGTTTCATCCACACTGTGCTTGCCTAGAATACACCTTTACAATTCCTGCAACCTTTTTATATCCACACAGTGTGACTGAGGTCTCTATATTTAATTTCTTGAGCCCCGTTTATTGACTTACCTCCATAAACAGCAGAAACACAGTCTCAGTTTGTCTATATGCGCTTTTAAGATACCGTCTGACACTTCATTGTGTTTTGAATTTACAAAAATCAAACACCATTCCAATATTGCATCATCACGAATTAAATATCATATTTAAACTACATGCCTTACAAAAGAAATGACTGATTTGATTATGTAAGGCACAAATCTGTATGCTGACATTTGCTTTGTAGCCGGTCACCACCTGCGTTTATGTGAAAACAGCGCCATCTTTTGTTCTCCCGGTTTATATGTTCATGGGAGGGATTATAGTGGTTCGTCTCTCTCTTTCTGTTTCCAGTGTCGACAACGAGGGCCGAGTGGTGAGAATAAACTATAATAATGCTACGCGAGACTCTGTCCTGGACCTGCCACTGGACCAGGTCCAGCCGTTCTACAGCTCCCTGAAGACCTTTGTGGAGCTGATGAACCAGCCAGAAAATGTGGTCACCTACAGGATGGAGCCAGGTTAGTGTAACGGCCTGCTGAAGCAAGACTAACAAGTCAGCCCCATTTAGAGCTAACTCTCTTCTCTACCTGTTTACTCAAGTTTTATTGCCGCTTGGACTTACTTCATACTGACTTCCAAATCAGTAACAGATACTGAACTTGGCTGAAGACTGTTATGCATGAGCTGTCACAGTGTTGTTTTTGTTATTGACTTAAACATGTGTAAAAGCTTTGGTCCATTTTGCCATTTGAGAGGGTAGAGAGGCCAGCGCTTAATGGAAAACAGAATAGCACGGACAGTAATAGCTGCCAAAACTTTGGAGTTTGGAGAAGGCCTTTTCCTTTCGGATAGTTGCTAGTTATTGTCTCCTACCAGACATATGATTTCTGGTCGTCTTCTCATCGGGAAGAAAAAATTATGGATATTTATTATTTATTATATATTCCCTCATATCTACAATATATATGTAATATATTGTGACAAACACCTATATGTACGTGTAATATATATATGTATATATATTGTGATGAATCTTGTCAAGTATGACATATTAAGAGCAGTTGTCAACTTTCTCAACCTCAAATGAACAGCAAACATAATCTTAATATAACTATTGTAGCGCTGCGGGTGTTAATTATTTGCATTATTTTCTTCATAGAATGTTTGATAGCACTCTACAGATGGATAATACATGGGTACTAAAGAATGAGTTATTAATTGTAACAGTAAAAAGTTGGTGATAAAATGGTAAAATAATGCAAAAAACCAACTCTAATTACTTAGAAATAAGATCTTAATTCTAGTTGATGCAAAATAATTAAACAGTCATTGCAGCCTTTTTTACATTTATAGGAATAAGCTGTCAAACTCTTACAGCTTAAAATCTGCTTAATCAACATATCACAATAATTCTCTTACATCTTATATAGTTTTGTAATATTAGGGTTATTACCCTAAAACAGTAAAGTAGTTGTGCTAAAATGATGTGGATTACTGCTGTAAAATGCTAATTAACTTGTTTCTACTTTGTTTTAAAACTCTTATGTCTTTAAATGGTCAGTTGCAGTATGATGGACAGACATAGGTACAGGCTGTAATTACAGTGAAATAGTGTTGGAGCTGTAAAACGCAAACTTACTTTTTTCTGTCTTGTTTCTCAGTTACTGCATCTCAGAACAAGTGCTAAAATCATTTCCGTGTAGGGCATTATAATCACCCATGGTTGTACTATCACTTTTATATGTAGGCCCACCTACAGAAATGCTGTTACCCAGGAACAGATGAGGTAAATGTACTGAGATTCACAGAATCAGGGCTGGAAAATACATCACATGCTCCTTTTGTGTTACTTGTTACCTGTTAAATACTCTATCTATAAAACACAGACCTGGTAAAAAGGCTCAGAAATTAGTTCAGTGATGGAGAAAAACTTATTTTGACGTATTATTTAGTAACAAACAGAAAATTTAAATGTATTTTTAGGTTAGTACAACTTGTTACCGTTAGTTTATCATTTTGTTTCTGACTTGTTACAGCTACAATTACTCACTTATTATTTAGTACCATGTAATTTATTAGCATGTAAGTTTTTAGGTAAATATAACTTGTAACCATAATATTACCACATCATTACTCACTTATTATTGAGCTGTAAAGTGCTATCAAACTGTTTTTTTTGTGTGTGTTAGAACATGGTTATTATCATGCTGAAAGTAGGATACATTTTACATGTTTTTGGTATTTTTCTGATGTTTTGTATTTAAATTTATCAGTCTACAAATTTACCAGCCTGTATTGCTGTGACAAGTGGCTTGTGATGTTACCCTTGTAGCTCTGGAGCATTGCCTATTAAAGAACAGGTGAAGGACTAGAGCTAGGTTAAATGTGAATAAGGTTATGCGTGAGTTAGGCAGGAGATTTCCTAAAAATACCAGTTGTAATACTCAAAGTACCTTATTAGAAAAAGGAAGTCTTTTTTTTATAACATTTTGATATAACTTGGCTTAATTGTGTTAGAAACAAATATTATATTTTTATATCACTTGAAAGGACGTGTTTTGAACTGTTTTACTCTAAAATAGCAGGACTGTAACCATAGTGCTTTAGTCCTGCTGTTTGCTCTTGTTGTCCAGCCGGTGTCACTAATGTGCACAAGTTTAAAAAGCTTTGAGTGATAAAACCATTTACAAAATATCATTTTACACGAATTTAAAGGAAAGTTTCACAGCTTCGGAAAACTTTGTTTTACCATCAGAACAAGTGGCTCAGCTGTTAAAAGTTTTTTTCTGTTGTGAGTTTGAATCCTGGAAATGCTACAACCAAAAAAGAGAAAAGGGGGAGATCATTATTGGCAAGCTGAGGTACAAAACCTTGTACCTCAATTTTTTGTCTTTTTTTAATAATTACCAGCTTCCTTTACACTGTGTCAAAATTGAAATAGAAATGGTCCAAAATCACTCAGAATTAAATACTGTTAGATTAACTTGCTCTGAGGATTTAGAATATTATTTTTCAGCAGTCAAAATCTGTCCAAACATGTGATGTCATAGAACCAAAACTCAATTGTCTGTTCTACGCAGGTGAACTTGTGACCTTCGATAACTGGCGTCTGCTACACGGCCGTAAGAGCTACGTGTCCCACAGCAGCCTGAGACACCTGGAGGGTGCGTACTTGGATTGGGATGAAGTCATGTCCCGCCTACGGATCCTCCGCAAGGCTGTTCATGGAGACAGCTAAACTCCTCTGAGGTGGAGATAGTGGTTCAGTAGGTGTCTAAGCTTAAAGCTGAAACTTTGTGCTGCGCTGGGCTGGGCTAACCTTTCTTTATGGCACTTTTAGTGACAACCCTTCACCTCAGAAAGCCTCTCAACTGAAAAAAAAATGTCTGCTCAGCACAACAGTCTGTGATTGTGGAGCGGCCTCGCATGTACATATGGACATTCACTGGTTTTCACCTTGAGAAGTCAATAAGATCTTGGCCTCTCCCACTGATACTAGCATTCATACAGGACTTCAACATAGCAAATCTTCTATGGTTTGTTTAGTTTCCGTCAGTCTTCTTTCTCTGTAGTTTTATGTTCTCAGCCAGTAAATCTTTTCTCTCAGAGCCAAAAGCACCAGCACACTCAGAAATGGGTTTTGGGAATTTGTGAACATCGTGGGTGATATCTTAATCAGAGTAATATCTTAATCAGAAAAATAATTAGTAGACAGAATTTTGACTCTTTATTTGCAGTCCACTACCTAAGATCCAGTAAAATATCCAAATTCTGCATAACATTCTATCAGGCTGCACAAAACCCTGATACAGTGGCATTTCCTCTTGGCTTTACGACTTTTTTGGGGTTGCACAGAAAGAATCTGAAACTTTTTATCATCGAGATAACATTGTTATCTTGGTAAAAACTCACTGGTCAGCAATATTTTCACTACATTTCCATTTTTAATAACAAAAAGAATATATATGGCCTCTCTATAACCTGTGGCATTTTGGAGCTTATCTACTATACTGTAAAGATCTTCTATGCCTGTTTTTATGCTGCAAGTTCTACCCTCGTGTTGCATTATAATGGACTGTTCAAAGTTTAAATACTTCAAACATGAATACAGTTTTAGTGCATTTCTGTACATTTCCATCAGTCACCTATTCCCAGTTCCCAGTTTGGTTTTATTTTATGTCTGTGGTCCACTCCCCAGCCTTGTTCTTAATTTCGGATGCTCTGAGCAGCATCGCTGAAGTGCCAAGCTATTATTCAGTAGTACCAGGCAATTATGGCTTTATAGTTTAGTAACAACATGTCAGACATTTTTGCATCCTAGACTTTATTTATAGTCATAATGCTTTATCTGGGTGTTGTAAATTATTAATTTAAATGATGTCATAGCTTTTAAAGAAATGACAGTATAGTCAGGGTTTTATTTAGCAAAACAGCTGACTTTAAATTTGTGGGCTTTAGCTTGCAAAGTAGGCTGTTTCTTACACAGCTTTGCCTGAAACTTTATTCTAAAAATGAATTTAGTCTTAGCTTGAAAATCTGCAATTACAATGCATAAACAGTTCATTGCTGTTATCCTGAGAAAACCTTGTTAATGTTTTGTGGGGGTTTTTACTTCTTTACATAAAATGCAGATCATGGTAACTTGGTGTTTTAACAACTGTGGAGTTGAAGCTGCTCTTGATGTTTAGGTCAGAAGGGTAGTTTTCCTCTTTCTTCTCAGAGGTGTTTTATGGTTTCATTAGTATGCCAAGTACTGTATGTCACTAGCAAAAATAATGTGTTTACCTTGGGCACAATCAATGCATAATCACCTTGATATCCGTTTAACTTGGTGTCTTAACTTTTCTGTCCTTTTTTCTTTTTTTTGCAGTAGTTAAGCACAACAGAGTGAGTAAAGTGTCCTATAATGCTTAAGGAAAACAAAGGGACTTTCAACAGTGTACACAGATTAGTGCTGGGTGATGCATGCAGGATGTTTTCCAAATATATCAGGGAATCAGGGTATCTGGTGATATTTGACGTCTGCATTGATATAGTTAATGAACCCAGGCCTCCTGAGTACTGGCATGCATTACAAACTTGGCATAGCTTGTTTTGATTATTATATCTTGTAAAATTATACCAAAGGGAACCCTACACAATATTGTGGACATAATACAGAAAATCATCTTCTAAAAATGAAGCTTACTGTTTATTTAGTTTTTTTTTGTTACCTCTCAATACCGCCAAGACTGAAAATCAGTTTCTGAAACCGGTACAGACAGCATATCCCCCAGCACTAACACAGATTTACTACTGTTCAGGGTGAAATCTGCAAGGCTCAGTGCTTTCAGTAACACTGTATTTACACTTTATTGAAATAAATCTTTTCAAAACAAAGTGGGTGTATGTGTGTAATTTAGGGTTGCAGTCATTGCAGTGTGAGTAGAAATTATGGCAATACTGAGTTAATAAAGGAATGGTCTGCTAAAACTCAGCACTTTACACTTCAGAACAGTTGGTGAATGAAGCCCATTGACTGTAACATTGAGTGTAACATTAAAAAGAGTACATAATTAGGCCTGTTTGACTGGACTTACTGCTTTACAATCTGTGAAACACAGAATGAAAAGAATTGTATTGTTCTTGTTAGCATTTTTGTGGCATTACTATTTTTTTTTGTCAGTTCAAACAAAATATTAATAATAAACTTTAAAATTACAGCTTATATTAAAATGCAGCTCAAAGTGCTTTAAAGGGTAAATAAGACCAGCATAAGAGAAGAAACAAAAAATAGAAAAGATTAAGAAAAAATGAAAAAGGAAAATGTAAAGTAGCAAAGTAACAAAACACCATCATAAAAATAAGTATTTTATATTAATATAACATACTGAAAGGGGAAAACAGTAAATAGTGGCTCAAATGCAATAAAACAAAAACCATTAAATGAAACAATAAATACGACTAAACAACAATAAAGAAAGGCTAAAGTAACGAGATATGGTTGAAGCTGTTATATAAAACTGCTAACTGACGATGCTTATGGCTGTGTGTGTTGTGGAAAGAAGCTCTACAGTTTGGAGCATAAATCGATAGTTCTGGTCCTAAAATCTGATTAGCTGATCCGTGTTCGAAGCCCTTGTAAAATCCGTGATATACCACTCCTATGACCGCCTCACAACAACTGAACTGTGTATTACTGCGCCACGGCACTAAAAAGACTCTTGTGCTGTTAATGGAATAATCTTTGACCCTCATGCTGCTCACATGGACCACCGAGTATAGTGATGAAGTAGGAGTTTTTTTGTTTAAACTGAGGGTCTGATGACTTCTTAACTAGAACTAGGCTAGTTAGCTAGCTAACAGGCTAAATGATAGCCAACAGCCTAAACAACTCCATCATTAATATCACAGACTTTAATTAAAGTACTTACGGCATGATTAACTAGAAAACGGCAGAATACAAGTCTAAAAAATGTCACTTGAATGGATTACGCGCTTCGTATTTCAGTCAGAAGTCGCGTCAAACCCAGGCTGAATCCCAAACGGCTCCACACTCCCTAAATAGCGTGCTAACTGTGAAGGTTTAATAATTCTAGCCTCTACAGCCAAATAGTGCACCGTTTATTAATTATAGCTGTGGCTGAGTCCCAAATGAGTATTTCGTAGCTGTATTTTGCTCTGTTGGGGTGCAGGATCCAGTATTCAATTTCCATTTGAGATTCAGCCCCAGCACGAGAAGATGGGCGCTGCTGGATTAGTGCTAAATAAAACTCGCTGTGGTAATCTGGTGACCAGAAAGTACTTATAAAGCAAACGTTTCTGCTTAAACAGTGCTGTGTTATCATATGTTCATTCTTATACGATAAAATTTTTAAAAATCATGAAAAGACCGCAGTGTACAGCGACGGCCGACCGAACGTTCTCCTCATTCCCCGGTCCATGGTTACTTGGCAACGATACCGCACTCTGAAGGAACTACATTTCTTGGCGGAATACTTGTTTATGTCGATTATTATTAATAATAACTTTTTAATAATTTTCTGTAAAGTCGTGTATTTTATCATATTTTATGTTGGCCGCCGTTTTATAAAAGCAATAAGCCGCTTGATGCTGTGCGTTACTGTGATTTTATCCTGGGAAGGGTGTTCTTAGGCACGACGCCTTAATACATCAGTCCTTACTAACGTGTCAAACCTCAGAATAACCGAAAACTGTGATGCACATTGTGTATAGTGCATTGTGTACATTGTCTCTTGACGAACCATGGTGCCATGTCGCCCATCCCGAATGTACATCCTTTCTTTCTGACCCCAAACTAATATCTGCCAATCCAAACCAACGTTTTTGGGTGATATTAGCTGCATTTCCAGCCAAAGGAATTTTTATGCAAACGTTTTTATCACTTTAAAAAGTTTGTGGATGTGGCTACGGAAACGGAAATTGTCAGTAATATTTTATGAATTTCGAGAAAACATTTTGCTGTTGCATTTCCATTTAGCGTTCTAATACCTGAAATGAAACCTACACTGGAAATGCATTTATGCATAAATTTAGCGTCGTGACACATTTTCCTACATTTCAATTAATTACAATTAATAATAATAATAATAATAATAATAATCATCATCATCATCATAATAGTTAACTTTTTTTTTAATCAGTAGGTTATGGGGAAGTCAGTGAAGCCAGAATTATACAAATTACAACATACATTAAATTAGAAACAGAAAGCATTTTTTTAAATGAACAAAACTTATGCAACAGCTGTTTTTTGCAGGAAATGATGTTATTACATAAATCATTTTTATAGCTACAGGTCAGTTTGATGGAAACAAGCTGTGAAAGCACAGCGAAAACACATTTTATCTAGATTTTACATCTATATTTTCATTTTACTTTCCGAGATTTGAGCATCAAGTCCATCGAAACAGCTCTATTATTTTAGCCTTCTAGCTTCAGAGTGAAACTAAAGAAGCAAACTTAAGACACCAAACAGGTCTTGGCCAGTTGACTGTGTTTGGGGTAAGAAGAAAATGATGTACATTTGATTATTCTGCGAACCATTCATTTAAACCCCAGCAGAAAATCAGCACACATCACTACATCAGCACTTAATATCCCATCATGTAAAAACACACACAAACCAGTTCAGGGAGTCATTTGGGTTGAACATCTTTTATTGTCATATTGCCAAAGCTGTACAGGTTCTATAAATACTTTTTAAACACTGAAATATTTACATCCAAACGTCTCTCTTTCTCTCTCTTCCTCCTCCTTTTCCCTCTTGCTCTGAGCTCTAAGAGGAACAGAATGAAAGGCCAGACGAGCGCAGACGCTGCAGTGTCTGTTAGGACCGTGGTCATTCAGCACTCACCAAATCAAAACACCCGTCTTTGGAGACTCTTTGAAGTGGTGGATCTTGTCTTGTGCTATTTACAACTAAAGCCTACGGACAGCGGGCCTTATTAATAACCATCTAAAATGATTGCTCTTCGTGGGAACGCACACCAACATACACATTCATGAATGGACATGTGTTTAAAATCATAACACGTAAAAGGACATTAAAACATATACCAGAGATGCTGTAACACAGCCTCCTCCGTGAGTACAGACAGACAGACAGACACACACACACACACACACACACACACAAGCAGGAAAGGGACAGTTTAAATTGGACGTTTCTCCAAATTATGTAATATTTAGGTTCCCTCAAACAGTGATTGGACATCAGTAGACTTACAGACCTACATGTGAATACAAGAGATCTCCAAACACAGCTGTTTTTCAGCTTTCACACACTCAATAATGCCTCCTTCTGTTACTGTGTTGATCACATCCAGTCCCCCAGCCTTCACTCTGACAGGGGACGGTGGAGAACAGTTCTCATTACAGGGCATGTTCTCGATACCCACTACAGATAGTATTGCACATCTACTCAACAAACCACAGTTTGTTTTTTAGAACTTTTTTTTTTTCGAACATTGCTCCAGTGAAATGTACAGTGTAATTTTTTTGCTTGTTTTTTGATTTTTTTTTTCTTCTTACAGCAACATGCAATATCATAGCTGTTCACAAACAGAGCTTTTACAGTAGAACTAGTACAGTAGGCTCAGGGCAAAGCTAAAGAGCTACACATATTTTGGACCACTAAGAGCAGGTGAGGAAGGCTGAATGAAATGCTTAAAACTGGTGCTCCCTGGTGGCTTGTTTGGGGATAACATATGTCATAGCCTTGCAGATGGAGTGTTTTAAACGCTTCGTCAACCTTAGACAGGGCAAACTGGAGGTTACGGTACCACTGAGCACATATAATAATTTATCACAGTCTCTGGATTCAAAGACATGAAGATGAATTTAGGAAAAGCAGGAGCCGGAGAGCTTGTCAGGACATGAACTGGGGATGCAAATGCCAGTTTGCAGATGTGCATTGGACCCGCATGCAAGCGGACACCTCTGACCACATGCAAGAGGTGGGGACAGCAGCTCAGCCATGTAGGAAAGATGCAGCCCACTGGAGACTTGATAACAAGGATGCTGATCAGTTGCAGTTGAAGAGAGGTCCGCTGTGGGCATGCTTACTGTTCTGTGGTGAAAGGACGAAGATGTGTAGTCATGGACGAAATTAATCGACTGAAAGGTCGAGGACCAAAGTTTGACAAAAAGGACCAGTTAGGGTGTATTCACTTCTCTGTGAAGTAGATTAATCAAGTTGATAAGATTGATAAATATAAGGAATATTGTCCAGAAGAGGGCAGTGAAGCTCAAGCCAGTAGTACAGAAGCAGATGATCTGGCCTGGATCTACAGCCTGGAGAACATGGTATGGTGTAGGTATGACAGAGAAAACTAGGACAGGGCTGGAAAAAGTACAGCAGAGAAATGTGCACTAGCTGGGCAGCGGGCGAGGGGACAGCATCTTGGGTCTGCCCTCTGCCTCCTTCCCCTTTACTGCAGCCATGTAGGAGAAGAGACAGAGCACGGAGTAACAGATCTGATGTGCCTGAAAAAGAAGGAAAAAATTCCAAGAAATTTAACTTTATTCCAAAACTAGGAAACAGGACCTTCATTATAAAAACCATTAGCTTATTTGTCTTACCATTGGAGTCTTGTACTTGTGGATCACCACTTCTTTAGTTTCAGGAACTGCAATCACAGGTGCAAGAGACAAAACAAAAGAGTTTGGAAGAGGTGGAAGAAAAAAAAAGAAAACAAAAACAAAAAAAAAGGAGTGAGAAGAAAGCGAATAAAAGAAAATGACAAAATAAGAGATTTAACAAGTGATTGTGAGAGATATAGAGCAAGAAAGAGGTAGACAAAAGAGCGAGAGAAACAAAGAGACGAGATAGAAAGTGTAAGAGGAGTGAGAAAGGGAGAAAGACAGTGAGCAAGACAGAGAGAGATATAGAGTGAGAGAGAGTGCGAGCAAAACAGATAGGGAGAGAGTTTGAGCCAAAGACAGAGATAGAAAAAGAGCGGCAGAGTGACAGTAAAAGAAAATGAGGAAGAGAGCAAGCAAAAGAGAGAGAGAGTGCGTTTAATCAAGAGAGAGACAGAACAGGAGAAACAGGGTGAGAGCAGAAGAGCGAGAATGAGGAAGAGACAGCAAAAGAGTGACAGCAAGCAAAAGAGAGCGTTTGAGAGAGAGAGAGAGAGAGAGAGAGAGAGAAAGAGCACAAAAAAACGAGAGCGATCGAGCAAAAGAGAGAGGAAGACAGAACAAGAGAGTGAGAGCAAGCAAGAAAGCACAAAAGAGCAAAAGACAGCAACAAAAAGCAAAAAGAGGGAGAGAACGCAAGCAAGAGAGAGTGAGAGAGATATGAGAGAGAGGAGAGAGGGAGGAGAGAGGGAGAGATGGCCCAGGGCAGAATGAAATAAGGAGTCAACAAATAGTTAAACACAACATAATCATCATTCTTACCAAAACTATCAAACAGATCAGAAGAGCATCAGTGGTCTGATCTGATCGGGCCTTTTGATCAGACTAAAGTAGCTGGACCAGTCAGCCACAATGGTTCAACAAACCAACCACTGAGTGTCTAAAATACTGTTTTCGTTAGCAACCATTTCCTTTTTAAGCTACGAGCACAAAGACCTCTAGCAGAACTTTAGCAGAAGACAAGCAAATTACCACTATAAGAGGATGATAATCTCATTGTGAGAGAAGTGGTCCAGGGCTTGCCAGGCTTACTATTGCTTATGGAATGGTGAATAGCTACAAGCATGATAACATGAACTTAGCAAAATGTCTGACAGCCAAGGCAGTGATAATGAGACAGACATGTATTAGTCAGTAAGGGAAAGAGAGAGGAGGACGAATGGAAGGAGAAGAGAGGGAAGAGGAGGAGAGGTAGAAGAGATCAAGGTGACAGCACTTTACCTGCTGGAGAATGAAGGTTTTCATAGCAGCAAAGATGAGGGGGCGGATTACAAAAAGGAAGCACAGAGACACGGCAGTAACCCAGTCTAGCCCTGACCCTGACTGTCCTCCATTCAAAAGCCGAACAACTACACATACCTTTATACGATGTACTACTAAAATTGTATAAATGAGGCAGTCATCACCCCCAAAAAACTGTCATACCTCATACACAACACAAAACAGGCTATGCTGTCTGGATCTAAGATAAAAGTCTACATACACGGTTACAAAAGGATGAACAACTCAATCCGTGAACGAGACTAGTTAGAAGCTATGATAATGTGATTCCAGCACAAACTTGATTTAGAGTTACTCCACAAAGTTTAACCATCCCTGTTTTAATACTGTTTTTAACATCCCTTCTTTGACTTATTTCTAAGAAATGTCTACAAGGTAGGTTTTTAGAGGCAATTTAACATCTGGACATCTTGTCTAGTTCCTATCATCACCGTGAACAATTCTGACTGTTGTTTTTCTCACACTGCTCTGAATGACTGTTGATGTGACTGTTATTTTACTATTCTAAGGGCTATACAACTAGCAACAACATAAAATGATGATAAAGGCACCACTGTTCTCATTCAAAACTTGACAAACTAGACAAAACAGTATGTTTCTGCTTAAAAAAAAAGTTTGATTTGTTAGTTAACTGTTTATTGAGGTTAGCCATTGCTATGGTATCCTAGGATGTCGCTAAGGTGTTGTTAGGCCATTGGTATGATAGTATCCCAGGTTGTTTCTAAGGTGCTGCTAGGCTTCTGGTATGGTATCCTAGTTCCTACTGAAAAATCTGCTCTCTATGTCCCCTCCTCTGCTTGTGTAATTTAGGTGCTGTGCACTTCTGAGTGATAAGGCAAAGTCGGCAAGAGTATGTTAAAAACAGTATCAAAACACAGGCTCTCACTCTAGGTCACGGACTTCATGTCAAGAGCTCCTTTTTGCCCTCTAATAACTCGCATTGCAACTTGCATTATATTTTTCCCATCATCAGTATTATTTATGCACTAGGATAAAAACAAACCAACCAACAAAAAAGCTAAAAATCACTTAGAATGAGACATGTAAACTATCACAGTCTAAGCGAGCCATTATGCTTTGTAGTTTGGTTTACTGCCGTGTCGCGTACAGGCCTAGAATCAAAATGGGGGTAATTACCAAATTCCTCCAGGACAAAGACTCCCTTCACTGTATTGCACTTTTTAATGTGATTCAGCTCTATGAAAACCTAAAATGAAAAAACAAACAAAAGAACAGGGCACACTGTTACCAACTCAATCACACTTTGTGTAAACAAAAAAATAAAAATAAAAAAAAGAACAGTTTTAAAGAAACGACAACCTGGACAGTCAGTAAACAGTAAAACAGGGAGAAACGAAGACAGCACTTAAGCAAGCTCTGTAAAAGCTACTAGAACTCAAAAAGACTACACAGAGAGCGGAAGTTTCCATGCTGAGAAGCTTACATGGGCCGAATGAATGATGGCTAACTACACAGTGTGAACGTGACGTCTCTTCATTTAACATTAATATGCTACAACCCATTAACCCCATAAGAAAAGAAATACAACCAAAACATGATTTTCTTTAAGAAAGCTGCCATACTGTATGTCATTTATGTTACTTATTTGATCAGCAGAATCTATATTAAAAAAAGATGCACTTGTTTTACAAATGGCTAACGGTAACGTTAATGAAAACTATGATGGTCTGAGGCTGAGCATCAAAAAATCCTTGTAAGGTGAAATGCTCCATATGCTGATAGGCCCATGTAAAAAACACACATGAAAAATTCCATTATCTGGACATAAAAAAAGGAAAAGAGGCACAACAGAACTAAGGAATGCCAAACAGCTACAAATGGAGAAAAAAAGAAAGGAAAGCCAATAACAATAAAAAAAAGATCTGCTAACAAGCAAAGACAGCAGAGGTGGTGTACCTTCCGCTCCTTGCAGGGAGAGAGAGCATGGGAGAGAAACGCTTTGGATTATTATCGCACGAAAGAGCACAAAAAAACAACCCACTGGCGCTACCTCCCCACTCTGAAGAGATTCAATAAGAATCAGTAAACAATAATCTTTCTCCCAAAACACAATAAAAATGCAATCAAACAAAAAAGTGAATAATTAAGAACTGAGTTTGGAGAGATTTTTTTAAGCCTTGCTCTAATCCCACTTCATTGCCCTCCATGCCTCCTCCGCCAGCAGTGCGGACCGGCACCCTCAGGGAAGCTACAGCACAGATGAACCACTAACGCCAACAGAATATCTACATAGTACACAATGCGGTTAACGCTTCTCCAATTTTAAACTTGCATCTCAAGTTCTACAAAACCCTCATACTGAACAAACCCTCCCACCTAATTCAATCTAACGCATCAGAGCACAAAGGAAATGGAACATTACTCTACATTGGTAGAGATGTGAACTTGGACAATTCATAGGGAATTCAGAATACAACAGCAAGTTCAACAATTCAGCATTCTGAAGAATCAACTATGACCAATACAGGATAATGGGAGAAAAGCTGCAAAGCGTTACGAGCATGATTATGGAAGCATGAGACACTAACATGGAGAAACCATCACTACTATAGATGCTCAAAAAGCTTTTAGAATGCCTAAAAATGAATAACAATGATAATAATAATAATCCCTGTCTTTCAGTTTATTTAGAGATGCACTGATGCAGTATTTATGGGCCGATACGATAACTAGGTCTCTCAGAATTATGACATTTAAGCTGACAATTAATTGCCATATAAAGAATTGTGATTAAAAATGTTATTGCCTTTTTTGTTCCTTGTATGCAACTATTAAAGTACAACGCTAAAGTACTCAAATTTGCTGATTAATTATTTTGCTTTCTAGGTGTTGACACTTCCAAGTTTGATTAAAAAAAAAAAACAGCATTATAAATTGCTGCCCTTTACTATAGCACCACTAAGATGTTTAGAATTTGTTTTACTATAACTGTAAAAAATAGTTTCATAATGTGTAACACTATTTGTTGCAAATCGAAAACAGAAATATGCTGATTAAAAAACTAAAAATCAAACTAAATAAAATGTTTATGAAGAAAGTCGGTTTTCTGTCTGAATTCACGTCAGTAATTACATTAGAGGCTGCTGGGGGCCGTTACAGGAAAACCGAGACAGGTCAGTAGAGACTGTGAGTAAGTTCCCAATGTTGGCGACTATGCATGTTACAGTGCGTGCATGAGCAAAAACTCTGCAAATAATGTGCTGGCTGTATCCCTAATTTATTTTCATTGGTTGACCCACCAACACAGGCAGTGAAGAGTTGTGCAAACATGAAAATGGAAGACACACTGATGGCTCAGAAAAACAGCGTCTGTTTAGCTTGGATCTGAGTAACGGAATAAAAACTGGCACAATAATGTCAGGACGTAATCTATACATAAAAAAGTCCAATATATACTTTTTATGTTTTTAAATTTTTTTAGGTTCAAGGATTTAGGAGATAGAAAAACTAAAAACTAAAATTCATCTACTGGTAGAAAGAGAACTCACCTCGCACTAACCACGCTGATAAGTAAAAGGCATACTTGATGACTAATCATCTGCCATCAAGTTCAAAAAGGCTGTGTTCAAGTTCATGCTTCTAATGAGGCCATTGAACTGGTGAAAAGTAGAACAGTCTTCAACAGTCCTGCCTCTACACACCAACATGAAATATGTATTACTCAGTTACTGCTAAAAATCTTACTCATATTCCTACATCTTACCTCAGAACATACCAAAATAAATTCCAAAAATCACAACAACACACACCCACACACTGTGAAGACAAGGGTTTGGTACCACAGTAAACAACAGTTAGTACTAACACAGTTTATGTGTAATGTGGGCTTTCATTTTTGAAGAACAAATAATCGCAAGTGACTAGGCAACTCAAAAACAAACATCCAGCAAACGAAGCAAAAAAAGAAGAGCTATTCCTCTCAGAACCTCTCAGAGAAGTAAATGGCTTTTATTTTTAACAATTATGTAATGTAGCAAATGTCAAAGATTTCACACTAAGTCTTTGTTACCTTTATTCTTTTATGGAAGTTCTTTGAGGAAGACAGCCGCACAAAGAAAGAGAGCATGAACAAAAAGACATGGAGGCCAGACAGATGAACAGAGAATGAGACAGAGACAGAGAGAGAATGAGAGAATGAGAGAGAGGTGGTAAGGGAGGTTGAGGATGTGCAGGGGTGAGTTTCTGCATGCATCTGTGTGGTAGGTAAAAGGACCAGGCGTGTGGGCCTCCTACCTGGCTGTGCATGAATTTGAGGTTAATTCCCTCGAGGGTGACCTGCAGGAGACCTCCTTCTCCTGTCTTCATGTCCTGCACAGGGAACTCCCCTCCCAGCTCTGGACCTACACACAAAAAATGACCCAAGAGGAACTTTGTAAAGAGAAAGCTAAACAATGAGACTGCGATTTAATCCAGTTTTACTGTTATTATAGAAAAAAGCAATTGTACAGAATGAGGACAAGATCACAGCTACACTCCCTGCCCATTTATTAACACAGCATTGGAATACAAAAAAAAACAATAAACAAACAAACAAAAATACAACAGGTTTTTAGGAGATGTTTATGTGTGAAAAGATCAGAAATTGTATTTCTTTGTTATACACAGTACTGTGCAACACATAGACAAATTTATTAAAACCATTTATCTAAGCAGTAACTGTGTCTTTGTTTGTGAAAACACCATGTAACATTAGAAGAAATGTAGACAAACATGAATACAGTAAAAAACAATAAAATGCATGTTTTTTCAACACTTCAGCCATCCATTTGTTAAATTCCATAACAAGCACACCTGATTTAATCCAACCAAGCATTGTTTAAGCTAAACCACAACACTGACATATGTAAAATCAATACTTTTTTTATTTTAACTGTATTTACTACAATAAAATCTGCCCACATAAATAACTTTTTAAATATAATTTCCTAAAGTGCCCAAAATTTTTCCACAGTACTATATATGAGTACAGTGAATATTTTAACTAATAATAATTCATACTAACATGTAGTTGAATCACCACCTTTAGACTGATGCACACTGTTTACCTGGTTTGATGCTTTGCTGTCGTGCTGCTGCGCGCTCCATGCTGTCTTTGACACAGTAGTACAGTTCCCGACACTAGTGTCCATAAACAGAGTGTGTTAAAGTGAGAAATTCAAAGGTTACAGCTGATTTATTAACGTCACTGTTTCATATGAATGCAGAGAGGTTATGACAGACACAACTGTGTCCAAATGTGCAGCATGTCCTGCATTGCTGTCGACCAAAACCTCCAATATGGTAGCTTTATATAAAAAGAAAAAACTAGGGAAAGCAATTTTGGAGCATTTCTGTTCCATTTGGAGCATTTCTGCTCCATTTATCATGAAATGTTCACACAATGAAAAGGCTAGCTGGTGTTTTAAATGGAGTAAAAAAAAATGAAAACCTTTAAAAATGGAGACAAAAGGTTTTGTTCTAACAGCAATATCTCATGTGCATTCTGACCTTCTTGGTGTAGAATTTGTTGAGCTGTGTCTCTTGCCCGTTCCTCCTCCACAGGCACAGCACTTTGGTCTTGGGGCAGTAGGTCATATTTATTAGCTTTTCATACCACCAGCGCTCATAAACCGTCCCAATGTTACTACGCAGTACGATGCAGTCATCGCACACCTGTTCAAATGCACACAAACAAACACAAACACACAGAGGATAAGGAAGTTTATGGAAGGTCATCATTTGTATGGAAAATCATCTGCATTAATGGATACAAACAAACTTTGGGTAGTCACCAATTAAAGAAATCGTTCAAAAATCTAATTTACAAAATTTTTCCTTAACCCTAAACATCGGTACAAATTCAAGATGCATTTAGTGCCTCCTTTAGTCTTACAATGGAATAAGATTAACAAGTAAAGAAGCTAAAAGCAAAATGAGCACAGTGAAAAGTGGCAGCTTAAATCATCACATGGCATGTTTTCAGACATTTACATCATCTGAATTGATTATCAATGCAAACTATCAGCAATTTTATCGTCAATCAGCTTAAGTCTAAAGCAGAAGCCTAAAGCAGTTCCATTAACGCCCCCAAATGTTCGTTTGACTGGTAGTTTAGCTCACTATCCTTCTGAGGTAAGACAAAAACTCTGTCCATTTGCTTTTTGCTCAAACTATCGCTTTACCAGCCTCACACTTATAGGATCCATGCTCTCCTACACACATACCTCCATGAAGAAAATGTCCCCTGTGGTATCAGTCCCTGCATGCACCACAAAGGTCTGCTTCTTTATGTGGCGGCTCCCGCTCGGTCTTATCGGAAGTTCCCTTCCACTCTACGATGACATACGACACGCTTTAACTGATGTTCTCTCAATTAAGGAATGCAGGACCTTAAGTTGGAGTGGTGTGTCTTACCAGCTGTGCAAGACGGTCCAGGACCTCATTGATCTCCTGGCTATACGTCAAGCCGATGTGACACTTCCCCATCAAACGCCGGACCTTTTTCCTGATGTCATTCTTATTCACCTACACAACGTATATGCCATGTTCTGTATTATAATAACTCACTATTAAAAGCAAGAGATATTGAGCCTTTAGGAGTAAACAATGTGTACCTTCATCATTAGCATGTAGGCAATCATGTTGTGCAACAGAGTGGCCAGCAGTCTGTCCTCATCATCCTCCAGCCTCTTGCGGTCATGTTCACCAAGTGAAAGGTACCTGAATTAGAACAACACACATACATGTAGACGTATGTATGATCCCATGTCTAGTAAGCATTGTGTAGTAAACATTTTCTGAATTTAGGGTAAAGTTCAAACTTATCTTTAACCTCAGTAACCAAAATAAATGTTTTTAATGTTTAAAAATGAAACAAAAAAAACACTACAAAGCTTACATCTTGTGGGTCCAGCAACTGCAGGTTATCAGACATTTATGTTCTGAAAAAGCATGAAAAACACGAACACACACCTGTCAATCATCTCCTGTGGTCCCTGGTCCATACCCATTCCCTCTCTTTCAAGCATTACGGCATCCAAAAACGCATCCTCCCAGAACTGCACCTGGTCCCATAGAGTGGAGCGCTCCTTACCTATAAACACAATCACACAAACACATTATTATATGGGGCTACACGTTCTTTAACACAGTAAGCTCCAAGCTGTACTTCCCCAACAAACTCAAATATATTAAAATAAGGGGTATATGAAATTTTCCCTGCTAATTTACCTTCTCTGAACAAGTGAGGTGTCAAATTACAACAGTCATTTTCACACATGGCAATGCACAGCATGTACACTACAATTAATCAACAACAACAGCATTGTAACAAAGTTAACACGAGCCTGGAGGTGCGATTTCACGCAGCATTCACGCTTACACAATCATCTTTAAATCACCCCCGCGTTTCTAAAACAGACTCCAAATAAAGGCTTAGCTTAAGAAAGGATCCAAACTGTACATTTCACAATATATGTGTCAGGTATTGTATATAGTAAGGGTGTAATGATTTCAATACAGTATCGAAAAGATCAAATTTGAAATATATCGAAATATAAAACTGCATCACTGATTTGCCTCTCACTCTTTTCAGAGCATCTCTCATTTACTGTTGTTCATAGAAACTACAATCAGTGATTAAAACTAGGCATCTGGGTGCAACCTATCAGAGTAAAGCGGGTGAAGAGGGGGTGAGTTTGATATGATATGAACACACGCTCAAATGACTTGGCTATTTTTCTAAAGAGAATGTCAATTCTCTGTGACTTTTGGGGTTTAATTTGTTATAGTGGCACTGAAAAAGTCCTACTGGAGAATTTTTTTTTTTCCTGAACCAAACCGATCTGTGTAATTAGAGCTCTGAAGAATTAAGATATTTTAACACATAAAATACCAACAATCAAATCAAATTCTGACCTCAAAATTGACAATCGTATAGAACCTGAAAATGTGTATGTATGTGGGGTTCAGGACTCTGATCAGCCTATTTGAAAACCTCAATTTTGTTTCTTTTGAGCCTTTCTGGGCATTTTTTACCTACTTCACTACCCTGGAAAGGTTCTATTTAAATAATGCTCAACTAAATTTGGTTAACTGGTTGATTGAGTAGTTTGTGCATCATTACACCTCCAGTATATACACTGTACAAATTAAATTCATACATACACTTAAATATACTGCATGCCATACTGCAATATGGTGCAGTCCATATAATGCAGTCCTGATGTACACAGACACATGCCTGGAAATAAAACACTTAAACCTACATCACATGCCCCATACATGTCCCATGCCTACAGACACATACACACAAATACACACACACACATCCCAGGTCATTATTCAGAGTTAAACCCTACTCAGAGAGAAGGTTTCCATGGCAGCATCCTCCAGCTGATCCCACACTGAGCTCTTATCCCTCCCTACGCCGCGTTAAGAGAAAGACAAGAGCGGGGTATGGAGAAAAACATAGAGGAGAGACAGGGCAGCAGAGAGTGTTAGTGCCTTAATGCGTTAGTAACAAGCTAATCAGTGTTACAGAAGCCAGAACAACCAATGCACAAATCACCAGTACATAATGTCACAGGTGAGGAACCAGCTAACTTAGAAACAGAACAAAAAAACAGCAGGATGTGCTTAATGATTACATAGTGCATTTAGGTATATAGAGACTTAAGGATTAGTTTAGCCATTGTTTATAGAATCCCACACTCCAGCATTACATAATTAATACTTAAAAAGTTTAATAAAATATTGAGTAAGGCACTGGACAGATAATTTGTGAAGCCATTTTAACAAGACACTTTGAGAACAAAATGCAATTTATGAAAGCACACAGAGTGTGAAGCACAATAAGCCCTGTGAAAAAAAACCAGTGCAATTGTAACAGATTTAGAAAAATATGCAGAAGAACAGAAGCAAGAAAGGAAAAGGAGACATGAAATGGGAAAGAACAGAGTAATATTAAATGTGAAAGGAGGAAAAAGGTCCTACCTAGGAGCCCTTCACACAAATAGATCCTCATGCTGACATCTTCAAGCGGCTGGGCAGGGGCTCCCTTAGCAACACCCCCAACAGGCTCCTTTACACCAGGCTTCAGCTTATGGGTCTTCCCCTGAGTGAATGACAAGTGTTAGTTTACATCATGAGCATTATATTCACTTCAACATTAATATCCATCTCAAAATCAACACGTTTAAGAGGGAAAAAAAACAAAAAAACAAACTGATTTATAAATTAATTAAAATGAATTAAGCCCATCAAATAATACTGCATTCTAACAATAAACATACAGTAAAAAGTCATTAATATGTGACAAATGGCCTAGCTTCTACTGTGTTTGAGAGCTGGTGAATTAAAAGCAGTGATACTCACGAACACAGAGCTGGTTGCAGGGTTGGTCTCTATTTCACTGTCCGAGAGGGTACTGCGGGAAAGTGTGAGGTGTGGAGAGGGCCGACCAGTCAGTCCATCTCCCGCTGTGCTGCTCAGGTCACTGTCAGCGCCCAGCGTCTCACCTGAGCTGTTGCTCACCTGCAAGTCAAATTACAAAGCTCAGGATACAGCCATAGTAGTACAATATTAATAATAAACAAGTTTTTAGTAAGCCCGAGTGAGAAACAGGAGACCACCCAAAACAATAATAAAAATAAAATATAGGAAACTCGCATCTATGGTTGCAATCAACAATGCTGATTAACTGGCTTTTGTGTGTGTGTGTAGTAACTCAGGGTTGGTCGTGCCCTACCACTGTGCTGGCCTCAGAGTCCTGACTGGTGCTCCTCGTCAGAGCTGGAGGCTCTGAACTTGCCAACGACTCAGAATCGCTCTTCTGCATTGACAAAAAAACAGGTTCATTTATTCTTACAGTTATTCTTAGAGTTCAACACTAATTTATATAAAAAAAAATGCATCAAAAATTATGAATTCACACACAGACCTGAGAGCCTGAGGTCACGCTGAGGCCACTGTCTGCACTGATCTGAGATTTCTTCTCCTCAGTATCACCCCCTTCTGCACGCTGCTTTGCCCCTTCAGCCCCTGCAGAAAGTACATAGTTAGCCCATCTGTTCACTGGCTCTCTGTACTGCATCCTGCAATGCCACAAGACTGGAAGCAGGCCAGAGAATGGGGTCTACACTGGATGCTTGAGAAGGACCAACACAGTCTGTATGTATGTTTGAACCAGGTGAGTGCTTTTTCATTTTTTACACAACCTTGCCAACAATTCTACTGCTTCATTTCAAGAAAAATTCTACCATTTCTACAAATAAAAAACAAAACTACGAATACAAATACTTTCATAATTTGTAGACGATTGTCATTTTCTGTTCTGCAGTGCACCTAGCAACATCTTTCCACTATCCTGTGAAGCTTAGTCATGTTTACTGCTTACAACCTTTGTGAATCATGAATGTTTATGAACTCTCAGAAGAATGCTTTCTAGAACAGCATGACCATAAACCTATCATAATCCTGAAGCAGTCCAATCACTTGTGCGATAGTCAAGTCTTTGTCAAGCATCCCAACTAGCATCTACCAAAGCCTGAGCCATCTCTTTTTCTGTTAACTGAGAGAGAATGGCCTTTATGTCTGAGTAAGTTTCAAATACATTTAATACCTATTATGATGGTCAATTTTAAATTCAGCATCTTTACCTGCTGCCACCTGTTAGACAACGCAAGGCAGGTACAGAGAGAAATCTTTGTCCAATATCAGAAATTATTATTTCACACGTTTGCAGGAAGCCCATTCAGTTCACAGTAGCACTACTGTATTACAAGTTCACACAGACAAAAGCAGTCACACATGCAAGCAAACACACAACCAACCAATCAGACAACGGGAGAGGGGACAAAGCTTAGCTGCCATTAGTGTGCTATACGATGGAGATATCAGTATTGCAAAGGACCACCGGCACTTGCATGTGTACCAGTGAACCACTGATTACACAGCGCCACCCAATGTGCTGCAACTGAAGAAGAAACATAATGCACTAGACTGCAGTAGTGATACAGAGATATGTTTTGCATAGTCTTGTTTTCTAAAAAGAAAAAGAAAAAAAAAAAGGTTTTTTGCCACAATTTTGTCATTGACAGTGAAATGAACAGAAAAAAGTCAGAGGTACAGAGTCGAAGTAAACTAATTGTCTAACTCATTATTAAATACATAGAAACTCTCAACTTCTAAAGTTTAGTACAGAACTGACCAGGTAACCATAATCTTGCCATAACTTTCCATATCAGGCATTCCAGCCTTTGTAGCATGAGAAGGGCTGGGAAGCCAAACTTATGTCAGTCCAAAAAACACATAAATAAACAAATAAATACTGTGCAAAAGTCACAGACCATTATTCACTTATTTAATTTTCCAGTCAAAACAGCCATTAAGTACAAGTTATTCATTTTTCAGAAGATTTCATATATGATGATCTACTTGCATAAAAAGGGAAGAGTTAAAGTAGGAAAGTGAGTGAAAAAACAGTTGTTTCCAAAACTGGAGTTCAAAATTATTAAGCCCCTGAAATGCCACGGAGAAAAAAAGAAATTCACAACAACACTGTGTTCCCTTGCAAAATCCGTTTTATTTGCAAGAGGAGTACAAAATCATTGCAAGGGAACACAATGCCATTGTCTTTACCAATTGGCACTTTATGGCCTCTGTGCAAAATAACTTTCAAGGAAATAGAAAAAAATCAGGCTCATAAAGATGTGTCACCACCAACAAAACTCAAAGCTTGAATCTTTGAGAGAGAGGGGAAAATCGAGCTCCTGTTTCTGTCCATCCTTCCACTGTGAGAAGACAACTCAACACTATGAGTCCGAAAGGATGCGTAGCTGTCAAGAAGCCTTTACTGAGAAAAGGAAACAGACAAAAAGACCATTTGCTAAACAAACAAAGAACCTGCTGGTATTTTCAGAATAATGGAATGGCCACCCATGAGTCCGGATCTCAACACCACTGAATGTGTTTGGGATTACTCGAATCATAAGAAGCAGAAAAGGCTACCAGCTGCAGATCTCTTTGAAAAAATGAAAGCAAGTCTGCTGAAAAGAATGGAAACTGTAATAAAGGCAAAGTGTGGACACATTAAATATTGAAAAAAAACTACTAAGTTTAGTTGTTGAGGCTTCTGAGTCATTTTCTAACCATGATCATGTACTTAGCATCTATTTAATGGCTATTTTGACTGAAAATACCTACAAAAAACAAATAGATACAAATGAGTCTTGTCATGTACTACAAATTCAGGTTAAAAGTATGATAAACTTTTAATTATTTGGTAGCAGTAAAAAGCACGCCAAGGAGCTAATCATAGAAACCATGTCCTTGTCCAAACAATTACAAGTGGGTCACCTTTTACCAATAATATTGCAACCAGGTGACCTCATGTAGATTTTCAATGCAACTTTAAAACCAGTGGTGACATTTCTTGGTGAATTTTCATTAAATTCAATTCACATTTGGGTCATGCGTCTGTAGGGTTTCTTTCTGTGTGGACAAAGAGTGGACAGGCTGACTCTACATACTGAGTAAAGAGATTAAAAGGATAGGGGATCTGGTGAAGGTTGTACGTTAGACTCCTAGTTTTGCAGTTTGGAAAAGTCTAACTGGGTGCTAGAGAGGTGATCTTACTCTGTTCTTTTTCCATAGCTTTTTGCTTTCTGTTATCCTGGTGCTTGCTCCACAATTCTACCCAAGATGCATTGCAAGCAAGGAGAGAAAGACAGAGAGAGAGTCAGAGAGCTGGTTGAATCGTCAGATATGGTGGATGAGCATTTTTTTAAAAAACAAAAATCAAGAACCAAAAGAGAGAACGAAAAAAGATAAATCCCTTAACAGTGCAAAGTCTCATTTTCAAAGACGAGGAAGTTTTGTAATGTTCACACACAGCCATACTATTGATATTACTATTATTACAGCAATTGCCATCATAAAAAAAGATATACAGTGAATAAAACTCATCTGCACAAGCATAGCTAGTGAGGTCACATTACAAAGCATCCTGAGACCACGACCTTGATCCTGGAAAGTCAGAATGGCAGACATCCAGACCTGCCATCTAAAGAGATCTAAAAGGCCTCATTTCTGATGCCCAGAGTAAGGGTCACTTTCAACATGCTGCTGCTTCCCAGGGCCAGGGTGGAGGCTCCAGGCGGTGCGAAAGGCATGGAATGGGGGCGAGACGTCAGCCTTGCAGCTGGTGGGTGGAATGGGGTGCTGCAGAAGCAGGAAATGCAATCTCAAAGACATTCCGTAGAATTGAAGGTGCATCTTTACCAAAGGACAGACAAGGCAAGGTGGGGCTCATGAAGGTGGGGGCTGGCAGGAGGTAGGGACTACTTTCGCCTGTATACAGACCCAGACATAAATGCCAATCTGAAGCCTCAGGTCAAGCTCAACTGGGCATTTAGTGTTAACTTTGAGGCTATGGTAATCTTGAGGCTGTTTACAGGGGAGGAGTGTTCTAATATTCATGCTGGGGAGGCAAGACAAAAGGGGCCTTTTTACAAAGAGCAGCCACATCGTCCAGGACCTCCAAAGTCCTATCTTTCCACGAAACACAGCAGCAAGTTTGTGGCTTAAAGGAAACTCTAACATGCAACCAATGGGTTCAAGGTGTGTCAGGATTGGCAAAAGGGGTCAAAAACCAACACGCTCTTAACATTCCAAGGGAGAGGAATCAACACAGTGGGCACATGATCGTCATAAACTTCCAATAATGTGTCTACACTAGCCAGTGCTTTTAAAGCAAGTTGACTGTAGGAACAAATGATTTGTCTAAAATTTGAAAGTGGTCAATGTCAGAATGCATCATTCAAATTTCCTCTCAATTCGGCAAAATGTTTGTATAGACACTTAGTGGAACAGAGAATTCAGCTCAAGGCCCAAAGAGAGACTGAAGGAGACGTCGCCCCCTTATGGTCAGGTGGTATAACAAGCAGGGAGGCACATGCAGAGGGGGCTGAGATTTACACACCAATGGAAGCAATAAAATTCTCTTCGTTCAGACTCCGGGTGTCAAACTGACGTGCCCCTTTCCCAGAGGAAGGGGGTGGCAGCTGAATTCGGGGCACCAGGAGCACGCCTGCTGCCCTGGCGCTCTCAACGCGGACAGACGGGCTCTCCTTACTGCCTGGACTGCTCGCCCCATCTGTGGGACTTCGCTTTCGCTTCTCTGGCTCTGTACCACATGGAGGGGCCACGTGCAACATCACAGAACAACAAGGAACAAAGAGAAGAGAAAGAAAGAAGACAAGAGACAGATGGTGGATTTAAAGAGAATGTTTAGTCGATCGCTGTAAAGAGGAACAGGGGTTAGGGGGACAATAGAAGTTTACACAAAGGGACAGAGGTAAAGTTTTTTTGTCGGCCAGCTAAGAAGAACCTAGCTGCTTCTAGGAGCTACTATTATACTGCTAATCGTTGAAGGAAAGACCCTATTGTCATTTCAACTTTAGGAAAATAAACTATTTTCAGGGCAAGGAATGTCACTAAATGATAACTACTGCATTGGTGACACATATTCAAGTGAAGGAATGAAAACAGCACATCAATATTAATGAGCAACTTCTGTAGCAGGAGCCTTATCTTAGTAATGCAAATGAAAGTTAACTGAAAATTACCTTTGGTTTGGTAGTGGGTTCGTGCTATTTCTAAAAGGCTGAAGACACTGGCCATGCCACCTAGCCCTGCATTAGTGTAGGAGTGCTCCAGACTGGAGACAGTGCACTTAAGCAGATCCAGCATGCCTTTATACACCTTTCTGTTAATCTCCTGTGGACACACATGCAAACATACAATTCAGCAGTGTAAAGCATAAGTGTAAAAGATTAACTATAAATGCACCCAATAACTGAAAATAAGAATCATGTAACTTATCAAAGTTGATGTTCTTCCCTTATCTCAACCTCCATAATTAGATAACTCACCACATCTCTGATGACTTCCTGCCGAGCGTCCTCCTCTGACTGGACAGCACGGTTGAGTTTGCTGAGTACAAAGACACGCAGCTGCTCGTTCTCCAGCAGGCGGCGCACTTTTTTCATGTTGAGCCAGCCAACACCTTGGCCATCCAGCACACTCTGCACCACCTCCTTAAGGAACTGTTGGTTTTCGCTATGTGAAAGAAAAAGAGGAAATAAAGCAGCCTTGAACCCTTGAAAATGTAAACTATAGAAGTCCCTATAGATGACTGTTGCTTTACCATTTACAATTATTCAAAAATAATTAAAGAATTATGTATGTACTCACATAATTAATCAGAGCAATATTCAGTTTACACTATTGACATGTTTGAGTCTGCCATTTGGACTTTTATTCATGCTGTTTCTGTCAAACATGAAAAAACTGGGAAAAATGTAAAGGATAGACATCTTGCTGTCCACTTGTGATCAGATCACTTGAGACAGACGTTAATACAATTCTACCAATAACTCTGTGTCTTATTTTTAACTTGTGCATGCACTGAAGTATGTGTAGTCACTAGTGGTGGGAAATTTCCCTTTATCTAGACCCCGCAGCGGCCTCTGCTGGCTGCTCTCAGTTTCCCTGTAGTGCATATTTTTAAATCCAGTTCTGTCTTGTTTCCACAGAAACAGCATAAAATAAGTCAAAATTTCTTGTTTAGTTATGTGTTTCATAGTTAATTTAACTGTTTACTAAAAGGCAAGTTCACATTCTATCGTTAACTCAAGTTTCATCTTGAGCAAAGTAACCTTAATAGGCTAACACAAATCTGACTCAGGACTGATGGCTTGGAAAAATATTCCAGCATTTGATTACGTTAATCATTAAGTCAACTTAATTTTTATAGATTTATTCAGTCAACATCACATATACTCTGCAAATCAGAATTTTTTTATTGTGCATCCTTAAGATACATGGACATGCAAGGATTTTTCTTTTTTTTCCATTAACCTAGTCTCAGGTTTATTGTTGGGTACTGATGATCTTGAATATTACTAGGTTTTAAGTTAATTTCATCTACCAGCTTATTTTTAGGATTTTTAAATTTCATACTGATGCATCTCTAGTTAGTTTGCTGTTTGTAGAGTATGCTACCTTGTGTTGTTGGCTCTGCCCTGTGGTGAAGGAGGCTCCCTCTTCACTGTGGGACTGTGCTTTATCACAGAGGACTTCTGATCCACCAAAGCACGTGGGGCACGGGCACCTGCGAGGAACACACACTTCATCAGGACTGCAGACAGATGAAGAGGACGTTTGTACACACATACAACCAACTATATGTATATATGTATATGTGTATATGTGTATATATACACCCACACCCACACACACACACACACACACACACATATATACTTACCTCACTCACAAATACATAGAACTCCATTATCATGACTCACCAGCTAAGCAAAATGCACAGAACACTCACAGCACACTAAAACACCGTCTACACAATGCAGAAATCACACAAACACGTTTTACACACTGCACTGTGGTTTTACAGAAGCCATTTAGGAACACTTTGCTTAGTCAAGCAGATGCTAAAAACAAGAATCAGTCTAAGTAAAAAAGCACAAACACAAGGTTTTTTATTCAGTCAAATCCACTCTTGCACACTGCAGTAGGGATATTATATGGTTGATGATAGCTAGTTGAAAGTTACAGAAGGACAGAAGAGGAGGAGCAGACTGGAGAACAGACTACAGGTATGTTTATGACTCTCGCCTTGTTACACACACTCATACGCACACAGACTGGCAGAGAACAGAGTGAAATAAACAAGTGGAGAAACAAGTGAGCGAGGAACAGTCTGCATGGCAGCAAGACTGACACATCATGTGACTCATGCAGAGAAAGAACAAAAACAAAAAAAACAAAAAAAAAAAAAATCTCACAACACTTTGGATGACCAAGCCACACAATTCTGTATGCACAGTTGGTGTGTATGCGTCTGCCCCGATCACATGCACAAAGCACATTCGTGAGTACACGCTTTGTACTGTCAGCATTCAATTGCATACACACGCTGTGTAGAAGAGTGTGTTAGTGAGTTATTACACACTCACGGCTGTGTGGGTAGATCACATGATGGGTTGGGCCCCAGTCTATCAACATATATCGTATTACCTCTTGGGTTGGTAGTATGGTACATTAATATTAATGAACACTCTTAGGCCACATGTAGAAGACAATAAACAAGTTTGTCCATGTGGAATAAGACAATCATCTACTTCTATATGAGAAGGATTAATGTCTTTCCAAGAAGATTCTACATGACATTTCAGATAATCTCTAAACAGAAACAATATTGAAGCTTTCAGTATTCCACCTTCAGTATCAATTATGGTCCTGTATCTACATCACCAACTGAACTATCAAGTCTTTTATGAAGCATCCACTTCCACTGAACTGAGGAACAAAGGACACCACTAGTGTCCATTCTAAATTCATGTGTTTTTTTTTTTTTTAGTTTTGGCATGCTGTTAATCACCCAGACATATTTTGATGACTGAAGCAGCATTTAGTAAAGTTTTAGAACAGCCTTCTCAGAAAGCTAAAACAAAGGAAACCTGGGCAATTGCCTAAGTGAACATATAAAGCTTAAAACTTGGTGGGTGGGTAGAGAGCATATGTGCCACCACCAGCTAGATACAATCATAAATCAGCCCATGCTTTATTTTCTTACTTGCTTCATTGCGCGTATGCATGACTGTTAATGCAAAAACTGCACCCATCTACTATTTCCTTGAAGAGACAAAAGCTCACTGGCCACTTTATTAGACACTTTATGTTATTTTGTATTACAAGCATTTCTGTGATCTAGTGCTGTAACACCTTTAGAGGTAGTGATGAGTGAAGTTTTTACGTATTTGAGCTTGAGCTGTTTCTGTCATCAGTGTGGAGCTTCTAAGGCCCAATCCCATTTCATCCCTTGCCCCTACCACTTAGCCCTTAGCCCTCCGTTTTGCGCTTTCACGTCTAGGGTTAGGGTGTCCCAATTTTTGAGATAGAGGGATAGGCGAAGTGTTAGGGCTATATGGCCCTCTAAAAGGAGGTTTTACAGAGGCACACTCCAGAGTGTTATGAGAAAAAAAGAAAAACCGACAAGATGGCTATGCGAGCTAACAAACAAACCCACAAATGTGAGCATTTTCTCTGCTAAAGAAATTATGATAACCATTGTATTATCTTAGTTTGATGTCGTTTCAATATATTATGGTCGTTTTCTTCATAACAGGCAAGAAAAAATTACTAATGGCATGCTAAAGTCTCGGTAGCTAGCAAGCTAACTTTCCCGTTCCACCTTAAATAATCCAGCAGTACTGACAACTGAAGCGCCAGAATGTAACTCCCGCACCATTTAAGGTGGAACGGGAAAATTCAAACAAGAACCTGGTGAATAGCTGACTTTAGCTTCGTATCACCAAAGAATTAGCGGTGGGCAATAATAAATAATTGTTTTATACCCCTTTTTGAAGGCATATGATGCCCTAAATGTAACTTAAGCCCAGCAGCAAGGCTGCTGAACTTTTCCCTTCTCTGCTATCACTGCAGTCGGGCCGGGTCGCCTACAGAGCACCGCTAGTAGGCTGTTAATGACGCAATTTTGAAGGGTTGTCCCATTTCGTAGGGCAACATTTCAACTACTATCCCTTGTAACTCAGTTCCAAGGGGTCGGGGTGACACTCGAAAACAAGGGGCAGGGGTAAAAAGAAGAAATGTGACTGGGCCTAAGTATCGACTGCTAGTTAACTGAGACGGCTAATCAGTCAATTTGGCTGATTTAGCCTCATACTTTAATTTAATTTTATCATATACTAATTGTCCATTTTATCAGGTCCACTTTCCATGTAGATGCACTTTGTAGTTCTACAGTTACAGACCGTAGTCCATTCGTTTCTCTGCATAATTCGTTAGCTTTTAAAACTGTTCACTACTTGCCAGGACTTCCACAGGACCACCACTGAGCAGGTATTATTTGAGTGGTGGAACATTCTCAGCACTGCAGTGACACTGACATGATAGTGGCCTGTTAATGTGTGTGTATGCTGCACAAAGTGAATCACACACAGCAGTGTTGCTGGAGTATTTAAACAATTTAGTGTCACTGCTGGACTAAGAACAGTCTACCAACCAGTAATATCCAGCCAACAGTGTCCTGTGGCCAGGCACTATCCACTGAAGAAGAATCTTGGCAGAAACAGATGAGCTTCTCTCTCTAACTTAACCAACAAGGTAGGTGTGTCTAATAAAGTGGACAGTAAGAGCATGTCACTGACAAAAAGGCTTATCACAATCATGAAATTTTAGCTGACAATTAATTGCAATATAAATTCTGGCGATTAACAATTAAATTGTCTTTATTTTAAAGATGATCAAATTAAAGTATGAGGCTAAATCAGTCAAATTGGCTGATTAGCTGTCTCAATTAACTAGCTGACGGAAACAGCTCAAGCTCAAATAAATAAACATCACTCATTACTACCTCTAAAGGTGTTATAGCACTAGATCACAGAAATGCTTGTAATACAAAATAACAAAGTTAATTGGGTCATGTGCTAACAATAGTTGCCACTTGTAGTCTAACATTAACACAAGAACAAATAGCTAGCTTTAGTATTACAATTTTTATAATTATTGTACAGTTTCCATTTTTTTTTACATACTTTATATAAATCATTTTGTTGGCTATGTATTTCTTCCTGTAGAGTAGCAAGCATAGCTTTCCTGTGTGCAGTTCTTTTAGATTGGTGTCGTAAGTATAAATTTAAACAATGTAGTATTTAAAGGAACAAAATAACGGAAGCAAAATTTTTTTATATTATTATCAGTATCGAAACAGAAAAAGTGGTTACTTTGTGATATCTAACTAAAATGCAGAGCTCTTGGCTGCCTGCTGGCTCTGCTGAGATACAGTGCTCCGTTTTCTCTTGCAAGCAGCGGCAGCAATAGTGCAGAGGTCAGATGGATTAAGCTCGCCAAAAACCACAACCGCTACCCTCTAAAGGGGTTACAGCACTAGTCAGAACTTAGAACATTTCCTGTTGGTTATTTACAAACATTCATCTCTCAACCTCTCAATCTGATACAAATGCACGCATTTCACACTGTTCATTGTTATACAAACACACGATTATGAAAGCTACCCGCTGTGGAAAATAAATGTGGTCAGTTGAAATAACTGCCATCAGAGCAAATATTGCAGTCAGGTGACAAAGTAATAATTGTGATGGGTGTATTGATAAAAAATGGTGCCAATTTCTTTCCAAATGAGGTATTGTCACGAAAGAATACAATTCACATACCCATAGATGTATTTTGTATCTCCATTTTAGTGTCAAAGGGAGAAAAACAGAAAATAAAAATATTGTTTCAGTCATTGAAATAAGTGCCTCGGGTGACAGCAGAATACCACTAATGTAAAAGCAAAAATACTCATTATAATACAGGTGCTCCCTCTTATAGAAAGGTAGTCCTTCAGAATCATGTCAAAGATACAAAGACAATTCTTTGGCAAGTCGGAATCCTCCTTACAAAAAAAAAAAATCAGTAAACTATCAGTAACGAAAAATCAATAGTTTCCTTTGCTCTAAAATCATGGGCCCAACCCTTATACAACACGATGGACTGGGTGGCTTACTGGCATGAATGAGTAGATTAATATATGGTACAACCACAGTGACAAACGACCAGGTGACTCTCAGGAGCACGACAAGAAGCAATGGTGGAAGAAGAGGATGCTGGGAGATGTAGTTGACTGGCTTTGGAGAAGCATGCAGCTCACGCAGCAAAGGGCGGAACCCACCTTCTCCGCTCCCCGGGCCGACCTCTGTTATAATCTCCATTAGAGAATTTAGCCCAAATACTGGACACAGAAGCCAGAATTAGTGCAAAAGGGGGGTTAAAGAGGGACAGAGAGCAACACCGGCCCAGACAGAACCAGTCCAAACATCAACCCACAACCACAAACACCGGACACATGTATAAAGCAAAGCAGAGAAAACCAGCAGAGAGTGGGACAATAAAGAGAGAGGACAGAAGAAAGAAAGAGCTAGCCAGACAGAGAGACAGCAAGAGAAAGTGTGTGTGCATGAGAGAGAGAGAGAGAGAAAGAAAAAAAAGAAAAGAAAGACAGATACTAGGGTGGTTCAGTGCATTCCAGCACAGCCCACCCTTAGGCCAGGTCTTGGAGGAATGTAACTAATAGCATGTCAAATCCTACAGAAGGCGAGGGAAGTTTTTTGCTCAACATACGTCTAATAAGGGTAAATCAAATAAGACCACAGAAAATTCAGTATAGGAAATACAGAAAATATAAGAAACACAGAGGTCTAAATAGTTTTCAGCTACAGCTCTAGTTTGGACTGTACACAACCCCAGTAGTTTGCTGCAAACAATCACTGATGTTTGTAACACAAAAAGGGAGAAGGACAACGAACACAGTCGTTTTGGGAACATGTAAAGCTTATGTGTATGGCAAAGTAATACATTTCACTAAACCTAGCATAACCTATCAGCTAAAATTAGTGATGATACCACTACATCCAGCGCTAGAATCGGGTCAGGACCACAGAAAATGCTGGAATGGATATTAGAGGGGGAAAAAAAAGACCTAATCTGATACAAATCTGTAACAAATCTAGCCTGAAATATCACAGAATTTCTTGTAGTGCAATATAATATAAAGTGAAGAGATGGTAAACTTAAGTGAAGTGCTTCAATTAAAAATAGCAAATATAAACCTCTAGTTTTTAAAGAAAGAAAATACAGGAAGCACATGTCAGAAACATCAGAAACTTTCAGAAGGTTTCAGCATTAGTATCGGTCCTGAAACACAAAAAAGTGATACCGTGCCATACATAGCTGAAATGCAGAGGGCTTGGCTGCCTGCTAGCTCTGCTGAGCTACAATGCTCTGTTTTCTCTTGCAGGCAGCAGCAGCAAAACTGGAGAGGTCAGGTGGATTAAGCTCTCCAAACACTGCAACCACTGCAACTAAACACTGTCTACTTGTTTAATTCACATTTAAAAGGATGTTCAAGTTCCACTGCAACAGAGACTGAACTGAACAAGGCAAATGTGTTGGTAATGTAGTACAATTTCTCCAATCCATAGTTTCATTTCTCAGCTCAGTCAGAGCAATGAAGCAGAATTGCACTATCCATTCTCAACCCACAAATGTGCTTTTTCTTAGCAACTGTTGCAAAGTTGGACAAACGGTACAGAATACATAACGTTGAGTTTTCAGTTTAAAAAGCTACCCTATCAACTTGAACTTTCACACGTATACAACAGAAATATAATTTGAAATTAATACACACTACTTTGCTGCACTGTGTCCTGTGCTACAATTTCTTCTTTGCCTGAAAGGGGTTTCTGCCAACGTTCTGTAAAACTTGACCAAACTAACAACAGATGCTATGAAAGAACAGATTTGTGGGCGGAGTACGGATAAGTCAATTCAACTAGAAAAGACCACAACTATACACCAAACACAAAAAATTAGGCACAATCACGTTAAACAAAAAAGACACACAACAAAGGAGCGCAAGGGGAAAAAACAAAACAGTCTGAAATGCTTTGAGTTAACATTCAATGACTGCTTATCTTTTCACATGTGTGTGCCAGGATTACTTAATGCATACTCTGCCATCAACACGCGCACACAGACACACGCACACAGAGTTTAGGGAGAAACAGAGAGGAAATATGGATATACCCTTGACCACACATATAAAGGTATATCCTCAAACTAATCACCAGCCTAGTTCAGAGAGAGAGAGAGAGAGAGAATAACGTTCTCATTCTCTCAGAGATTAGGGGCTATGGTTATGAAACACACAGCAAACCAGCACACGTTCAGGGCAGGTTACAGATATGAAACATACCAGGACTGTCAGGACTCTCATCACCATCATCTGAGCAATAAAAACAGTTCATCCAAAATCATAAACAAACAAAAACAAAGAAAAAAAATAATCTACTGATGCTAGCTAAGAAAGTAACCAAGCTCTTTCTAAATGCCTCTGTTTTTCTGCCAGAAGTACTATTCGGAGTAGGGATTTACACGGTTTCTCCAGTACTTGGGTAACTGGCTGAGGAGCTAGTTTTTGAATACTGAAATCACTGTTCTGCTGTCCTGGAATTCATAGTATTTCTTCAGGGAAATATGTAGAAAAACAATTAGAAGGCATAGATTGTGAAGATGAGTCTAATGTGGCTTTATATTGCTAGGTAGGCTACCTACTCTAGCTGATGTTAGCTAGAGCAGTGAAATAACTCAAAACAGTGAAAATACATTTCACTGACAAAGTAAGATGTTGGCACATTGACCACCAAGGTGAAAAGACCATGTTTTGAAGACAAGGAGTCCTCATCAGCCTCTAACATTGTAACAGTTAGTGTTCTCATGAACTTCTCCGGAGGCACACGAGGACATTTATACTCTGCAGCCAAAATCAAGTCAGTAAGTATTGGCCTGTCTTGCGAATAATGTAGGACCGACAGAAAAAATACCCACCCTGTAGTTTGATGTTATAATGCTGATTTTGGCTGTAACCTACTAATGAAATTGGTAAATACACATTGTTCACTAAAGACAGCTAGCTAGGTAGATGATCAGGATAGAAGAAATGACGATAAAGGGTAGGACTCTCTAGAAGTAGAAATAGAAACTATTACGAATGTTGTAAATGTGTAAATCGGACACAATCATATCTGTGTTAGAAAACATTACAGACACCTTGTGAGCCTGTGACATACGTCTGGAAAACTTAGCCTGTCCAAATAGTACCAAAGGCAGCTTTATGATGGAATGGAGTAAAAAGAAGGCATCATATTTAGCTCATGGTTCACTTCCAGAGTAGCACCTCAGAGTCCGCTTAACATATCAGGAAAGTGAGAAGAAACCAAGCAACATTCCTACCAACCTTGATCCGTCTCATCGTCTAAATCAAAATTGAACCATTCTTTTATTAAAGAAATAATTCACAAAATAAAGGTCAAATAAGGAGGAAAGAGAACAAAGAACCAAGAGGAAGAAATTAAAGCATCTGTAATAAAATAAGAGTAAGGGGGTCTTTATCAGTCATTACACAATTCTATTTCCAGACATATATGTGAGGGTCCTATTCAACCACAGCTCCATCTCTTCTTTTACCACTTAATTTATTACACATTCACATATTACATTAATACATATTTATATTTACTTGTATCTTAAACAGATCTTGGTTATTTTTGGTAATCTTGGAGTATCTAAGTTCAGAGCTACAAAAGGGGTGTTAGATAGCCAGAGAGCTAAAGTTTTGCAAAAAAGAGAGAAGCTGAAGGACAGAAAAAAGAGGGGAAGGGAGAGAGAGAGAGTGCGAGAGAGAACAAGAGAGAGAAAGAAAGAAAGAGAGAAAGAAAGAAAGGCAGGCTACAAACAGAGGGAAATGTAAAGGGGCAGTGTAAGAACTGACCAGCTAGACTTGACAGACAGACAGAAGTGGAGACATTAAGAACGGCTGGATGTGATAGACGGTGAAAGATGAGCAGCTGTGTGGATGAGAGGGCAGAGGGCAGGGACAGTAGGAAGGTAGCAGGGCCTTCTGGCACACAGAAACTTTACTATACCTTTAAGGCTGGGGAAGGGAGTGTTCTTCTCTCTAGCTGCTTTATTAGGGAGAGCCAGGCTGGACAGACTGAAGCTGGTGCCATGGTTCTTATATAAGTTACCTACACACACAGTGCACATTTTCAACTCAGCAGCATGTGTGGGCACTTTTCTTTAAAGACAACACTATGTGGGCTCAATTGTTTAAAGACAACAATAAAATAAAACAGCAGGGCAGAGTGGTGCAGAATGCTAACAGGAATTATATAATTCACTGAATATTCACAACATAACTTGTCAAATTAAGTTCATAAAAGAAGTTCAGAACAAAAACAAGTTTCTAAAACTGAGGCTAACCAACAGACACATAAAGAAAGAAAGAAAGAAAGAAAGAAAACTGGAAAAAAAGAGAGTTAAGTTAATAATTACAATTCTGTAAATAGCATAATATGAGCAGTCCACTCACTGGCAAAAGACATGAGTCCTGCAAAGCCATCACTGCTGTTATTGGAGATGGTAGAGTTGGGTGAGCTGTTCTTAGAGTCTCCCTCTCCATCAGACTCGCCTGGTAGTTTCAGGCTACTGGGCCTCAATGGGCGAGATGGCCTACAGAAAACACATACATAAGAGATCAGACTATGTGTGTGGATGCGTGCATAAAATTAAATAAAAAAAAAAATTAAAAACTGTGTGTCATTGAGTCAGAAACTACGTAAGCAGACTATTTCAGATTATCAAGCCAAGTGTTTGATGATTTAAGCATGGAGGTTGGAGTACCAATTCTGTGGAGGATTTGTACTTATTTTCACTTAGAAAATCAACAAAACACGTAATTTGACCAGGACGCCTAATCTATTGCATACAACTGTGTGGTCCGTCATTGAGTGTGTGAGTGACAGACATACTTGTTTCCATTCATGTTCTGATTGAAGCGTGGTGTGTAGCTCTCCTCTTGTTCCTCACTGTCAGCCTCCTCTTCTGCAGGGAAGCCATACTGGGGCTCAAAATAGGGGTTATCATACTCCCGCTTCTTATTAGCTAGGTCAGCAGGGGCTGGCTCTGGGGCCGGTCTTGTGAATGGTGGGGCACCCAAACCAGGGACAGAATTCTGCAGTGCTGCACTAGCTGATGCCTCCATCTCAACAGGCTCTGTCTGCTCCTATTGGTAGAATGAATGAATATATGAATGAATTAATTAATGGAAAAAAGAGTGATAGTGATTCCTCAAAATCATGCCCGAATGTCAAACTTTTGACTGCTTTTTCACAATTAAAAGTTTATTTAACAGATAACTAATGAGTAAATAGGTTAAACTGGCAATTCAATAACCAAACAGGTAATAATAAATAAATACATTAAACTAGTCACTTAATTATGTATAGAAATCATCATTTTAAATGGACTTCTCATTCCAGTTTTAGTTTATCTTTCCACTCAGCAAATTAACTCAATAAATCACAGGGAAACTAAGGCATCCATTTGAACAGAACAACTGTAGTTTTAACCAAATGCCCCTTACTGAAATACTGAAAGCTCCTTATACAACAATTTGTCAGCAATACAAAATATAACATAGAATTGTACGTGCATTGCAGGGACATTTCATCTGGTTTGCCAAACAACGGAAGAAAGGTCTGCCTCATTGACACATTACCTAAATCTAATGGCATTAAACTAAAACTATGTAATCCACAAAACTAACGAGAGCAGTACTGACATGATTCACTCCCTGGATGACAGTGCTAGGGCTGGAGCTGGCCGTGGTGCTGGAGCTCGAGCGAAGTGGTTGGCTGTCTGTTGCCTCAGTAGCACCCTCCATTTCAGGCCCTCGCTCCTCACACTCCTCCTTATACTCCTGGAAGTCATGGATCTCCACCTCATTAGCGTCTTCAAGAGCTGCATGGGTCAAGGGATCCACATCTACAAGACACCATGAGAGAGAGAAAGATTTCTAATCAGAGGGAAACAAACACAGACGAAGAAAGAAACAAAGAAAGAGAAGGATGGCTAACTTGGTGTGTCGCCCTGTATGTCCCCTTTGATCATCTCATTCACAAAATCTCCGAGTGAGGAGTAGGAAGAGCTAGAGTCGTCATATGCCTCGCTGTCACTGCCACTATAATAACACACAAACAGATGTACATTAATAAACATGCATCCCAGCTAAAGTGTAATACATGATTCATGCTTACCAGCAGAAGCTAAAAAAACATATTGATACTGTATTGTGCAAATGTCAGAGACCACCCTTTCATTGATTTACCTTTCAGTAAAAAAGTCACTTATTATTATTCATTCTTCAGTATCAGAAAAAAAACAACAAAAAAAAACAGGAAAGAGTCTTTGAACCATGTCAGAATAAGTGTGTGTGTCTTGCCTACCTGTCGTCTGTAGGATCTGAGTCATTAGCTTCGTCCTCCAGTGGTCCACTCATGGCTTCTGCAAGCTGGGAGTTTCCATCATACACACGATAAAAGACTGGCTGCAACTGGTGAGCATACCACTTAGGCTTATCGCCTATTAGGGAGGGGTCATAAACATCTGGAATACAAACACAACATGCAAACATCTTGCAGTATTTGTACCTATAAAGAACAATGGAACATATATAGCTATGCTGGTGCATTTCAAATTCATGGGTGGAGGGAGGGGGGCCTTCTTACTGTTATGGATCCTCTGGAAGGCCAGGTTAGTGGGGTTAAGGGCCCATTCTCCATAATACTCCACAGCTTGCGTGTGGGAGAGTTTCTCAGCAAAGCCAGTGCGTCTTGGCCGGGAGGCCAAGAATGAAGTGGCCTGAAAGGCAACCACGGGACGTGGGAACAGCCGCAGCGTGCGGGTGTGCATCTGGAAACCCTGTAGCACGTTCGGAGAGTTGAAGAACCTCACCATTGCCACCCTGTATAAAAAGATTAGCGACAAAAGTACATTATTTAGGTCAGAAAATGGGAAGCAAATGAAATAAAGTAAAAGCGTTCAACAATCGGTCAACAATGTCTTCAAAAACAGGGAAACACTGGGGAACCACTTATTCTGAAAGGCCCATATCCTACATGTTCCTATATTTTATTTTCTCCCTTGACGTCCACTTGTGACAGCTGCATGGTTTTATGTACCAAAAACAGGCATAAGTCAGTTTTACATGACTATTTTCCAACTTCATCAATGAAAATGAAACATGCTGTTTTCTTGTTACGGTGCCTTTAAGACTCATATATGTAAACGAGCTCTGTTCTGATTGGCACATTCTAAAAGGGCTGAAACTCTCCTTATAACTTCAACGTAGAGCTGGGCGATATGGCCAAAAATGTTATCATGAAAAACAAAATTCATATCGTTCGATATCGATACATATCGCGATAAATGTCAAATCATTATTTCTTTCAAGTTTGAAGGCTGATTTTTGCTCCTGGGTGGTTAATTGCTGTTTTAAACTAACCTTTATGGTCGGAACATGACAAACACTCACCAAACAGAGGGACATTTCACAAATCTGTCATGGGAGAGTGGGAGAAAGTATCTGCTGAGCTGTTTTAACCAGCTGGAAAAGCATGGCTACTTTTGTAATAGTCATAATTTAAGAAAGAAAACAGATTATTTTTAGCCAGCTAGTGCTGACTGGATTTCTCTATTCAATTGTAGTAGTTTAAGGGTGAACCTCAATATATCTAACACCAGACAAACAGAGTCCTCCTATTAGGTACATTTAAACTGAAAGCGGTGCTTTTGTGTCGTGTTTGGTCTACAGTATCATCAATTCTCTGTGTTGTGCGATTGACGGAGCGCTTTACTTTCGTTTAAATCAGGGCTGTAATGAACATGAACCCACTTTTTTCTTTTACTTCCGTTGCTTGGGAATGCATTAATACTAAAATATGACTGTCTGAGCGCTGTAACAGCGCTTTAGTTGTGAGGATTGTGATTGTGATTTAACACTGCTAAAGCTTGTCAAGTTAGGATGTTTGGAAAGAGGTGTTCGCTTTCCTTGCAGTAGAAAACGCCACCAAGGCTTTCGCTAGAACGTGGAAGAGTGAGAATGGTGTATTATATCGAACATGTCGTATCACTCTATCGAGGAAAAGTAATATCGCAATAATTATCGTTATCGTTTTATCACCCAGCCCTACTTTAACGTGAACGTTCAGGCTTAATTGCTGAAGGTCGTATAGGTGGATGTAAATGTGCTGGTTTTCGTGACTTCACTAAAACAATTCATTCAAAACAAGCTCTTTTTGCAGCTTACTGCCCATATATAGACTCCATGGACTGAGGAGGGAAAAACACATTTTTTTTATACAGTAACAATGTTTACATACTACATCAAACTTCTTTATTTAGACCAAATGTGGAAAATTCAATTTTGCATGATATGAGCCCTTAAAGAAAACAATATTATTATAAATACATTCTTTTTCCAATTTTAAACATAAACATAGTATATCAGATTTTATACTTGAATCCAACTGTGAGAGAACTCTGACCTTGTGGCCACATCCACAGAGTCAACATCATTTCCATAGATGAGGGGGTTAAACTCTGTGGAGGAGGGTGAGGACTTATCTCGCCCTGGGGGCAGCAGGGGCAGCTCCTGGCCCTCCTGGAACTTCTCTAGGTTTAGAATAGGCTGAGTATTCAAACTCATACTTGCCAGAGCCTACGATGAGGCAGAGATAGAAAGAGAAAAACAGAGAAAAAGAAGAAAGTGAACAGAAAGACATTCGGTAAAATCCAAGGTTATAGGGCTAGAAGGGCAAAGGGGTAAGAAATAGCATTCTCACTTCAGGCAATATGTGTCATACATGGCACTGTATGTTATATCAGAACTGTGAGAACTCCTCATCCAACTACCAATCCTGAAGGCAATTTCGTGTTGTATACTACATGTAAGCAGACTTACATGTAACCTGAGTCTGACTGACAGCTACTGCCTGAAATGAGCTGCTGAATTAGTGGGTTGAAAAGTCAAAATGTTAGAAGAGGGGCGGGTTCATCACACCGAGCAATTTACAAAGCACTCTGGGAATACCAGCATCGCTCGCTCAACACCTCACTGACACAGCTGGCATTCCAGCAGATCCCTACGTGCTCGCAACAATCCGGCCGGCCACACTGCCAAGCCAAACACACCACTTGATTTACAATCTGCCTATTTAGGGTTATAACCATGACAATGTGAGCGCTGTGTAAAGTGAGTGCAGGGATGTCCAGACATGCTCAAGCCAAATGAGTGATGCAAGTTGCAGAAGATTACACATCTCACTCCAAAAGGGATAGGAAGAAAAGCACTGCAGATGAATAGAGTTTTAATTGTGTGTATGTTACAGTACTGCACCTGTCATATATTAATTTCCAGTCAAAATACCATTAAGTCATTAAGTTTTTAATTTTTCTGTGCCAGGAAGAAAAAAAAAATGCAGAAAACATCTGAACTGAACCTGAACTGAAAATTACATAGAAACCTCAATTCTAAATAGAACTAAATATGGCACCAAAATCTTTGAGTTTTTTGAACCCCAGTTTTGGATATAAATCCTATTTTTTCATGTATTTTTCCCTTGACTTTCCCCTTACCTATATCTTATCTCCCCAGAACTATCTGAAAAATTCTCAACTTGTACTTAATGGCTGCTTTGAGTGGAAATTAAATAAATAAAGGGTAGTGACTTTTGTACAGTACTGTGTGGAAATGTGTTTGCAGGTGTGCAGCATCAGTACAGAAGAGAGGCAGTGTGCATCTGTGCTAAAGTGTTCATTTTAGCTGTTTATTTGTGATGTGTGCTGGATTGTGTATGCATGAGAAGACAAAAGAAGGCATTAGGACTGCGTGCAGGTAGGAAGCATGGCACGTTCCAGGAGCAGAGGTAGAGGAACCTTGGAGTCGGAGGCGAAGATCTGCTTTTGGGTGATCACAGTCAACCTAACCAGACACTAAGGAACACACACACACACATACACAAAAAAAACAGACAGAGCCAATGTCACATGACTACCAACCCCAGCAAAGCACTGCAAAGGATGGGCAGGGTATGTGACCAAACGGGTGAGGAGAGTAGACAGCGAGAGAGTAAAATAGAACAAGAAGAGAGAAAGAGAGAAAAACCAAGACAGAGAAAGAGACAGACAGACAGACTGCATTTCTTACACAAAAAGAAGTTCAAGAAGAAAAGAAAAAGTTGGCAGGACAAACACAAGGACACGAAATAAACAGTATGAGTGGAAAAAAGGAGAAGCCTTGCAACACAGACAGACGTGAAAGTAGTGCTGGGTGGTATTGATTAATTTAACAGTATTTTCCAGTATTATGTTATTTGATGTTATTCGTTACTGGGTTCACACTAGAGGCATTTTTGTGGGCTGAGCCACCTTTTTCTTTTATTGTTTTCAATAGTAAAGACGTGCTTTGCATGCTGGGTGCTTTGCCTTTTCTGTGCGGCTGTGTTTTGTGCAGAGAGCTGCTTTGTACTGACCAGCCAGATCAAAGGTAAGAAGGGCCTTTATAGCTGAAATAAAGAAGTGATGCAGTCTTTCAGAGATCTGAATCATGACAAACAAAAAGGAGCATTTTTAGTTTAACTTGTTTTTGCTAACAGCACTATGTTTGCTAGTGAATAGTAGTACTTTTTGCCTACACATATCAATATGATGGACTGCTTGCACACATGAGTTTTATCAGTACAGTGCTTGACATTTCAAGTACGTTTTTCAGTGTTCTGATATGTTATCTATTATGAACAAGCAACAATTTTAGCTAATTTTAACTAGTCAGTTAACTATTGCTAGCTGTTGCTTAGCAATCGGGGATAGGCCAGCCCAACACAGACTTCAAAAAGCACATCAGTGAACTCCCCAAAGAAAACTGTGCATAATTTTTTTTTTCTTCAGAAAAAGACCATGTGAACCCCCACCAAGCCTGAATTTATAAAGTTAATGCACCCATGCTTTCAGAGTACTGCTACTCTATGCTAAAATACTGTCCTAGAAACCTGAAACAGCTTGTTTGATTGGGCCTTTTTGTGCGGTTCCTCTTAGAATTACAAAGGAAACCTTGCACAGTTTTGTACGCGTTAACTTGCCAGCAATCAGAATTTCACAAGAAAAAAAAAGTATGTTTAGGTTATTTATTTAGTTTTTATGAATTTTTAATGGTTCTTTCAAAACAATCTGAAGTTCCTAGCAAACTACACAGAATGCAGGTAACTAAGTTTTTGTTCATCAACACCACTAAAATTAAAAATCAATATTTTTGTGCGGCACCAGAACTGGTGTACTGGTTTTAGATGATATACCACCCAGTGCTACATCCAGTCAGAACTTCCAGCCAATAAGTAGACCATCCATGGTTACCAAGGTGATAACCAATGTGCACAGATGAAGAAGAAGCAGATCTAAAAGAACTACTTTACAAGTGCATTGTGGGTAGGAAACATCAAGGTAAACTTGATTTCACAGAGAAAGGCAACGATTACTCTATGCGTGCACAATGAGTAGGCTCCTAAATCCATTATGCCAGACGTTCTCTTAAAATCTTAACTCTGAGTAAGAAAATGTATGGCTGACAGTGACAAGAAAATGAACTTGGGTGGTCACTATCAATTATATTGGTAATCGAGCAATCAAGCTATTATTATAATGAAGTATTTATCATAAAATCAGGGAATTAAAGGTGAGCACCTCCTCTTTAATGTGAAAATGAGTCCAGGGTATAAAATCAACACAGAGCTGTCAGCTCAGGACTGAATGGAAAACAGGCATTGAAATTGCAATAAGCACTGAAATTGTAATAAGTATTTTAACTGTAATGTTGAAAACACATAATAAAATAGGTATACGAAATGAACTGCCTACAATAATAGTCATAATTTATAATTAGTTATAGTAGTTATAATCTAGAAGAAATCACCATGTCACATCTGTGGAACTAAAAGTTCCACACGTAAAGCACTAAGAACTCTCCCCAGCTACAAATTCATGAGCCTGTCCATTTCTTTAAAAGAGTGAAGTATGTCATATTAAGAGATAACCAACATTTACACAAAAGGAAATCCTTGCCTGGTTAACAACTAACCAGTCACTTGTTTTGTCTGTGTAACTAAGGCAGTGAGACTAACTGCAAAGTGGAAACCACAGAAATACCAGGCCAGCTAATTGGTTCAAACTGCTAAACACTGCTTTAAAATAACCTGCAGACACCACGATCATCATTCAAATTGTGAACTAATCACTAAGCCATTTAATCGAGAGCATAAATTTGAATTGAACTTTCAAACAGAGTAACTGATTTTAATCAAGTAATTGTGACAGCCCTAAAACAAACTACTAACTTTGGAAATGTGCTATGTATTTATTTACTTACTTACTTATTTATTTTTTTGCTTACTTACTTACACTGTATGAAAATCATACTTCTCTGACCCTTTCACACATTCAAACAAACCAAACAACCAACCAACCAACACACACATCTGCCAAAATGAGGAACTTATTTTGAGTATGGTTTGGAGATCACAATCCACAATACACAGACATAATGGGTCTGATTCAGTTTGCATCACTGGTTTCATAACCATGATGACCGGAATACTCCATCCTGATTAAGATGTATAACTGATATGATCTAGGATGGGCTTGCAGAACGAAAAAGGATATTAATCTTTATGACCAAATTAATTAATTAGGTGCCTAATATGATTGTTGGTGTGGGATGGCATGGGGTTAAGAAAACAACTAATATTAAAAACAGGAATTAGTCAAATATTAACTGAACTTAAACAAAATGTACTCCTGTATGTTGCCAGTAATGGCAAGATGTTGAGATGCAAATGCACTCTCATCTCAACATCTTAAGCACTGTTAATAGCTTTTGTTAATAGATTCAGGGGAGTTTAGTTGTGGTCTGAATCAGTCCTGGGTTCTGGATTATACTCTAATCTGCTATAGGGATTCTACTGCAGGGGTTCTGGGGTTAGTTACTTTAGAACACTCAAACTATTACTGCGTCCATGAGCCAGATGGACACCAGAACTTTTCATTACCTCCAAAAGCTAGAACAGACAAAAGGAAGGAAGAAATATGCATTCATTACACTGCATAACAACAACATTGTACAGTTACTGAACATATAATACAACAAATGGGAGACAGGGTCAAATAAGAACTGTAATGTTTTTGTAGGTGCAATACAATGTAAAAGTAATCACATTTATGAAAATAAACTAATGAAGCAAATAAATCGTTTACTTGTTTCAGGTGTTTCTTCAGCTCTGAGGCTTCTGGTTCTGGTAAAGGTGGGAGTATTTCTGCATTGCTAGGAGCAATGACCTGCGTGAATGGACAACACATTGAAAATTAAATTATTAAATTGCATTGAATGTCTACACTGAATAGGTTTAGTGGCCGGAAAAAAACAGCCAGAGATTGACTGAGCTGCAAGAGATTACCGACCTTGTTGCAGTCAAGATCCACCAGCCAAACATCATCAGGCATCTTAAAGTCTGACTTATACAGAAAGAAGCTGGCAGGCACACCAATGATGTATGGAGTGGGGGCTAGTAGCAGCTAGATAGAGAAAGAAAATGGCACAGAAATAAATGGATCTAAATGAGTGTGGTAGAGAGCACTACCTAAAAAGTCATACATGCAGTAAAAATATATCAGCTTTCTAGGGAAAAACAGACTAAGGTTCAAGATTCAACTTTGTAGGAACACAAATCAAATCAGCTAAAAAAACATATGCCAATCCAAGTGATGGTTTATCACATGATACCTGTTCAGCCGAGGCCATGCAGGTGGGCAGCAGAGGGATAACGGGGAACATGTACTCCAGAGGGTAGATCATGGCAACGAATGCCATTACACTCATTGATAGAGCGTTGTAATCCCGAGACTGCAGTACCACCTACAGACAGCAGAAGGCATGTCAAAGTCAATCTTCAACTACACCCTAAATACACAATAACAACCAGTGAGAAAAACAAAGCTCTTCAATGTTGAACATGAAGAATTTGACAGACATTGTCTACATTTGTTGCATTTTAAACTCACCCTCTAATTTTACAAATCACAAGTAAGAGAATTAGCACAATAAACCAAGTGAGCCAGCAGACAAATAACATTTAAGCTAGCTGATTTGTTTTTTATGCCTTGGTTATTTTATTAGCAGATTAAAAATGCAGTCACAGATGTTGGGGTTATCATGGGAGATTTAAGGTGGGTTTGTGCATGTGATTCTTCAATAACATTACTGCATTTCTTTAAGAGCCTTCCTACAAAATACATGAACCGTTATATTAGAGGCATTTATTTCAGAGGTACTGTGACCTTTTGTGTTGCAATTAATGCGACTTCAACAGACATGACAGTATATCAACATCATACTGCTGATGCAATGCCATCACAACAGAGTCAATGTGCTATTATTTGCCATATTAATGGTGGCGAGGACTGTTTACAATTCTACATCAAGGAGGGCATTTCACAAAGCAGAGTTCCTCGGTTACTCAGTTTCCAGATCACTAAAGCCCAAGTTGAGGATTGTCTAATAGGAATGTCCCTTGACTTAGGGCTTAACTCTAAATAGAGAAATCCTGCTTTATGAAATACCCTCCCCAGTGACTAGAGGGTTGGTGGCCAGTTGCAGTTTCGTTCAGCAGACTTTCTAATGTCCCTGCCTATCCTCTGGTCACTAATCCTGTGTCCTTAAGCAAGTCAGGTAACCTGTGTTCAAACTGCATGCAGAAATGTTCAAACCAGTTTGTTTTTCACATCTATTCAACCTGATCGGATTTGAGGGTTTAGGCAAGCTTATGATTTTGGCAATCATTCACATGAAAAGAGATCTAAATTCAAAATTACACTGAGTGAAGTCCACATGAGGAAAATATCCGGTAAATATCAAGTATGTAAACAAACAGCTATTCTAACAGATTTGACTACATCCCAGCATGACCCAAGTTGCACATAGACTGATGCTGTTGCATCCAGTCACTATACTCCTGTAATTTCCTAATCAATCTTTATTATTAATGCCACAAGAAGTAATATTTCAGTGCCAAAAAAAACAAAAACAAAAAACAGAGCGAGGAAGAACCTCAAAAATATAGTAAGCATGATAGTGGCTCAGCAATGTTTCGCTATAATACCAGTCATTCGACGTTGTGCTCTCAAAAATCCTCATTTTAGCATCAGTTAGCTGAAAGCAAGCCTGCACTGTGCTAAAACTGTGGGCTGTGGGCATGAGGACAGTCATACTGCAGGTGTGACCAGCATGATAGCAGTTATACCGCAATCGTGGCCAGCATGAAGGCTGTAGGTGTGGCCAGCGGGCCCTCCCCTTTTCTGGTCATACCTTGTGCTCCAGCAGGATGCAGCTGAGCACCTGCAGGCAGGCATCCACTCCCAGCAGCTCCAGGGGCAGGTGGAGGGGGAAGTCCACCAAGCAGAAGCGAGATGAGTCTGGTTGGGCGAAGGTGAGTGCTGGCTGCAGCTCGTGTGGGAGCACCTCCACATCTACACGCCGAAGACCCGCTACAGGCACCGGAGAACGCAGCAGCCTGTACACCCATGACTCGATCTCCCTCAGGTCTTGCAGCAGCTGACTACCCTTTTCCTTCTCCTCCACTGAGAGAGCGCCGGTAAACACACGCCACATGGCGTCCCTGGAAGGTAAACATATACACATATATGAACATCTCTTAATTGCAGGTGTATATAAATAATTATACATCTTACGTAACTACATTTTTGTAAGCAAACAAAAATTTGTAGATATATACAGAAGATAAATATTTGAAACTGCTACAAAACAAACAAAGGATGCCTTTAAAAAGCACTTCACACACATACACACAGACGTTGGTCTCAGGACCATGACAACCAGAATACAGCGTGATTTACGATTTATGATTGGTATGTTTTAGAACAGTTCTGCATATTGAGACATAATGATAATCATTATGACAGACAAAATTAAATAATCTGATGCCAAATACGATTACTGGAAATAAAAAAAAACTGCAGGGAAATAAAGAAAACAACTGACGGATAAACAGGGATTACTCAAATATTAATGACTGAAATAAACATCCATTCCGGTAATGACTACCAGTAACGGCAAGATGTTGAGATGTCCAAATGCACTTCAGCACCTTAAAGGGGCACTACAGCTAAAGAAAAAATGTAACCACTGCTACATCTTTTGTAAATATGCCTATTCACCTCCTACAGTTGTGCCACAGTAGTCTCAAGAGTGACTGGCTTGAAGATTAGTAAAACACCCTTCTGATGATGCATCTTCAAGGTGGGAGAAACTTTTAAAAACCACAACTAGATTTTTGAGGGCAGGCTATTTGAAATGTGTCATCATTACCTGGCTAATACAAAAGGAAACCATATAGCTAGGAAGCTAAATCACGTATGTATTATAAGCCTCAACATCAGTGGCAGTCAGTGAATTTCTTTATTATCTAGAGGGGGTTCCCAGTAGTTGTATGACATATTTGCTTAATGCATGCTGGTTACTGCAGTAAGAGAAAACTGATGGATAAAAACTCAAAGGGTACAAAACTATGAATTCCCCAAACCAGATGAGGCTGAAGGTTGTAAAGCTGTGCTGCAGAATATTACTTAACATGATAAAAAACCACACTAAATGCTGGAATGCCTTAACTGCCACACTCCAAATAAAAGTTAGCTACAAACAGCACTTCAACCTGAAGCACTTCAGACATGGTTTTACACACACACATACACACACGTACACCCCTTGGAATTATCAGGCTGAAACAGACATTCTGACCAGATCCGGCTTAGCTATTTTTATCCCCCTGCTCTCAGCAGAGTTTTTCCCTGTACATTTTGACATTGCGTCATTAAGCAGGACACACTGAAATGAAACAGCAAAGTACACTTCAGAGATACATTTCTGCAGGACAAATCAGCTGACGACTGTTCGATGTCTATGTGGCATTGAGGATTTTTCATTTTAATAACTACTGCGGCACTCTTATAAGCACAGCATCCATATGCATCCTTTCTGGTGACTGAGGGGATCTTTTCATCATCACCCGTCACTGCCTACACTTCCCACAATTCACAGGTGTTGACACCCCAGAGGCAAGGGAGGTGATGACACTGCAGCAAACAGGCCTATTAATAGGACCATTAGTCACAATGACTTGTGACAACTGACAACCCTTAGACTACCCTGTCCGTCCACACCTCATCCTTCTTCATTCGCTCACTGCAGGGCACATCCTGCTCTCTCTAACCATCCATTTCACACAGCTGGACCATGTGCAGCCAGTTAGGCTAACTGTGTGAAACAATGGCACTGTCATTTCTGAGGGAAGGAAAGACTTAAACGGATGAGGAATACAAACATCTGACATTTAACCTCTGAAAGCTCTACAGTTTCAGACCTTTGTGTTACGAAATTGTAAGACACGCATTTGTGCATTATCTTGGTGCCCTCTAAGCCCTTTCAGCTACCTAGTTTCAAGTGGCTGAGAGCCAGAAATAGCACAAAAACAGTGGCATCTGGCAGCTAATGGTGAGGATTAGGCCACTAATCAGTTTAAAGCAATGTGGGTAAAACAACAAGCAGACTTGCAAGAGCTTGAGGAAACCCTATGCAATAAAAAGGGTTACAAAAATCGGTGCTACCGTCACCCATTTCTGAAATATTCTCTTACAATTACACCAAAGGGAACCTTACACAGTACTGTAAGCATTAACCACAGAGAAACCAGATTTCAAAAAAGGAAGCTTTCATGCATGTTGAACTGTTCACTATAAGTCTTGTTCTGAAAATGATTTGAATATCTCCCTCAGACAAAATGAATTAAATTATAAAATTAATTAATTAAGAGTCTGGATACAGGCTACCACACACCAGATGCCTCCAGTTATGGTACTCAATATTTTCCTGTTCCATTAAACCCAGACCCAGATCACAAATCAATAGAAGGTTAGTTGATGTTTCTTTACACCAAGAAACAGAAAATGCTAACTGTCTGTCTGAACTTTGGCTAACATAACTAGCCTATTCACACCGTATTTTACAACATACCTTTTAGGTTGAAAATAGCACGTTTGTATAGAGTTAGTTAGCTGATACCAAACCAGATCAAATTACTAAATAATGCTGAAAGTTCTATTAAAAGTTCCATTAAATCTATGCAGTTCAGTGTAAAATGAGCTTAAGTTTGTTGTTTATCGCCACTTTTCTGATATGCTTTCCATGTGGTCTAGCTACGCTATCTACTATCTGCTACCTAATGGCAGAAACCCTGTGGCACGGCAGTGCAACACTTCTCGTCTGGTGTGTGGCTGCCTTTAGACAGCTATTTATGTTTCCTTCTTTGGAATGAACAGATAAACTCAAAATAAAAGACACACACTCTACAATGCCCTCTGGTGCAGTTTGGAGTTCAGACATCTCATTGTTCAATATATGAAAGAAGAATGTTACAAAAGCCAATTTGCATTTCAAAAATCTCAATTTACTTTTTCTTTTTTTTTTTAACTTTCAGGACTATTCAAATGTATGAAAAATCTGACTACTCTAATCTACAGTGAGATGCACTGCAGTTAACTGTCAGGTCCTGGATACCATGTGTAAAATGCACAAAATAGGATGTAAAAACTAAACTAAAAGCAAACTACTAGGCAATAGATGCTGTGCTATTATACCCAATACCAATCTGAACTAAACTGCCTAATTTTCTCACTCTGTGCGTGACCTAAGCCAAAGAGATCTCCAATAAACATTTACTGCTCCAGTTTCCATATAATGTGCTTTCTGTGGTAATACAACAGGCAAATATCGGTCCAAGTGGATTACCACAGGTTAGAATGAGGTCATAGACGGCTGCCCTCCTGAGCCAAACACTCAGTGCAGTGTGAATCCTGAAGAAACGTACTGAACAGCATTGGTAGCTATAAGCTCAGGACTGAAAGTCACTTTTCCTCGAGACTCCAGACAAATAGGAACTTGTTGTTGCGTGGGTTGCAGTCGGGGTGGGGAGAGGGGGAGTACGTCTTTTATGCCAGCGAGAGTAAGCCATAATTTGCTTGTGTGAAAGCCTCCCACCTTCTGCAGCCGGTCCCCGAGGAGAGTCAGTAACCTCAATCTGTCAAAAAGTCTGCTTCACTTGTCTCAGTCTTACATAAGCACATCTCTCTTTTATTCCCGCTCTCTCTCTGACTCCTATTACTACCCCTCTCTCTCGCTCTCTTACTCACTCTGTCTTTGTCTCCTCAACATCTCTTGCTCCTTAGTGTCTTTCCTTTTCGATCTACTTCTCTCTCTCTCTCTCTCTCTCCCTCCCTCCCTCCCCAATTCTTGTGCTGCTACAACTGGAATGTAAAAACAACAAAAAATCACTCATGTGGTCTGAGCTGTGGTCTTGCCATCTGCATGAATAACAGCTCTGTCTTTAGAGCTCTAATAAAACCTCAATGTAAAAACCTGACCACAGCAGAGCCCGAGTGAGGACACAGAACCATGACAAGACGCCTGACCACTATGAAACCCAAATTTACTGCTTCAATAACTTTAAATGTTTAAAGCCACAGTAAATGGTTTCCTGCATTAGCCAATTTCAGATGCAAGTAATGTTGCCGAAGTAAGTACAGTTCGGTTCTCTCCATTGTATGTTTCCTACTTCAAAAATGCAGCAAGACACGCCCACAGAGAATAGCACAAAACATGTAATATTTGTGCATGTGCGTGTATCTCAGAATAACACTTCCAGAGCCGTGTAAAGTCAAGGTCACTTTTCAACGTCATCCCATTTGTGGATGCTGCTGCTGCGCTGACAGAGACACAGAGAGAGAATGCCTGAGTCAGAACTGCCTTTTGACACAGTCATTACACAATCAGCACACTACTTACTGATCGCCCATGAATACACAGCACATGCCAGGCAAATAAAACTACTCGCAATGGCAGATGGGAAAATGAACTGTAAGCCTGAATTGTTTGCTTTAAGAACATAAAAGGAGGTGAGTCCAATAATTTACACTATGTTAGACAAAATGAATGTACACAATAGGATTGTGTACTCTGATCACTTTGATATCTGAGTTAAGGAACAGATATCTAATTAAGTACAGGGAAGAGGGGAAAAATAACATGCGTCATAGTAAGTAGTTCTTCCTCATAATACAAAAACATGGTAAACAAGGTTATCAAACAATTATAAAAGGCTGTGGAGCTAGCAGCCTAAGAAAATCAGTAGCACAGAGGAACATCTAGCAGCTCACAGATGTGTTCATTTGAAATCATGTTTTAATATTCAAAGCCAAGGGAAATCTTTTGGTCACTGTGGGTTAAACCGGTAGGTTTTTGTGAGGTTTAATGAGCTAACACCAGAACAACTGCTAACCCTAGGGGAAAACAATGCAACCTTAGATATTAAGGACTCACCATACACGAATGTTAGTTTGCTGAGGTAACATTAAGAAAATAATTTTGTTGTTTCTGATTTTAGCTAACATCAGCAGTCTGCCTAGTTAGAGACACAGCTGCATTTCAGACTTCACAACCTTAACACGCATCCTTGCCAATATGCTCATATTAAAGACAGAGTCACATTATCCAGGCAAAAAAGCTAATTAACAGAATGGGAAAAAAAAAGGTATAGCAGTGAATTTCACTCTGCTCAGAGGTTATCTACGTCAAGCGTGTCCAATTCTACACAAAGGCCAGTGTGGGTGCAGGTTTTTACACCAAACAAGTAGGAGCACTTGTTTCATTAATTGGTCCCACTCTGCAACCTGCAACCACACCAGCTCTTTGTGGATATAACTGAATACTGGTGACCAGTGTAAACATTAACCATGCAAATTTGTGATCCTCAAAAATTGGAGCAAACAGAAAACAAGAGTGCTAGGTGTGATACCTTACTGTAGAAAAAAACTAACTGGAGCAACTGGTCTTTAGTCAATGTCACCTGTCACTCACAGTTGAAGAAAAAAAAAACCTAGTTACCTAGCTAATGTTAGCCTTTCACCAAACTATCTGCTTTCTCCAAAACCTCATCACATCAGGACGAACCACACACTCTTAAACATAAAGGTGTCAAGTCAATAAGGGTTCACTTTTGTTTCACTAAAGAATCTTTTAATGGATGGTACACTGGAGAACCTTCTTTTGTAAATGAGATGTGTGACTGTAAAGAACGTATTTATTTATTTATTTAAACTTTTTGTTTAAAGAAACTCCATATAAAGAAAAGTTGATAGGAAGAGCCCTTCAATTGGCAAAGAACCTCAACATTATGTAAAGGTTCCTTGAACCCTTAAAAGAGTCTTCACAATCAGAAACTTCTTTACCAAGAAAGGCTATCTGGGGAAGCAAAAGCAGTCACAAATATAGTATATGACCAACATATGTGCATACTTGACCGACACACCTGTATGAGCTAGCTGGACAACCCATTCCAAAACCATGGGCATTACTACAGAGTTGGCCCTCTTTGTGGCTACAACAGCCTCCATTCTTATAAGCAGGGTTTACACAAGATTTTGGAGTGTGTCTGTGAGAATCTGTGTCCGTCCAGTCAAAAAAGTGTTAAGTCACTCACTGATATTGGACAAGAGGGCCAGTTCATCTCAAAAGGTATTCAATTAAGGTCAGGGCTCTGTGTAGTCCCCTGGAATTCCTCCATATTGAACTTGTCAAACCATGTCTTTATGGACTCCCTTTGTGCACAGTTGTGTCATAGTTGTCATATGGCTGTGCATATAATCAAAATGCTGAAAACAGCCTCAGACCATCCCTCCTTCACCAAACTTCAGACCATCTCTCCTTCACCAAACTTCACCAAACTTTACTGTTGGTACTACACATTCCGGTACATTTCTACTGCTCTTCAGAGTTCAGTGGTGGCGTGAATTTGCGTGATCTACTCCTTTGCGGCTGAGCTATCCTGCAATGTATTAGCCTTACGCATTTCAGTCAAGTCTGCTGTTACAAGTTATTTGTTGATAATTAACAACATTTCTTTTTGCTAGTGGCCAGCTGACTGGATGAGAGTAAAATAACAGTAGACTTCACATTAGAAATGTTCTCACTGTCACCACCAGCATATACTTTTATGCAGGACCGCTGTACTGCAAATGGTAAATTATCAAAAAGGAACCCCAACACTGTGCATTTAATGGTAATAGAAACAGCAAAACTGAGATATTGTTATAATGTTTTCAGGCATTCTTGGCACCAGTGTTCTTTTTAAGCGAATTTTAAGCGAACAGCCCTGACATTGTAACAAAATTACAAAAATCCTCAAGAGGCCAGTACCATCTACAAATAAATGAACACCAGTCATTTCCACAGTATTTAGCCAGCAGCAGACCTCTACTTCAAATGATCTTCAGTCTACAGGCTTGCTTATTGCTTAAATTATTCTCTGCACTTCGAGAAAATCAAAGGAGCTTGGCAAAGCAATTGAACAGCAAACAAACTGAGGCCTGAAAACTCAACTGTGACTCTTCACGGTAGCAGTTGCTAGGCTACATTAGAAAAGGCTTGGTTGAGAAAACAGAGGGGGGGTTAGCCCTCGTTCACGATGTTTATTGATCTGAATGAGAGTGCCAAAGCACTTGTAAAGATTGTTGAACGTTCTTGAGGGGTTAACCATCATTTGCGGTCTCTGCAACAGTAGTTAAATAATAAAAAACAGATCCATCTACACACGTGACCACACAGAAAACCACTTACATAACTATTATCAGAAAAAAAATCACCACCATCATCACTCTGTCCTCTCTCACTCTCGTTCTCATTCCCTTAATCTCACAAAACACTCACACTCTCGTCATCCCTCTCATTCTCGCACCCCACATAACGAAGGCGGTTGACACGTCCTTTTATTGCACTTCTGTTTTTAATAAACCACATAACCCATTACTTATCTTTCCAATTACAGTTCTCCCTAAAGGCAGTTACTGATTATTTATTTGCAATGCTGCATAAAAACATCTGAGTTCCACTATAACAGCTCTTTAGCAGGGATAGGGTGTGCATTGTATCATAAGATATCATCATGACACAGAAATGGATTCTGAAACAGGAAATTGTCTGGGTGGACATCAGTGAGGGACATCTAACAGAGAGAGTGAAAGCAGGAGAAAGACAGCGAGAGAGAGAGAGAGAGAGAGAGAGAGAGAGAGAGAGAGAGAGAGAGAGAGAGAGTGAGAGAGTGAGAGGAGGAGTGAGCAAGAGCAGGAGTGAGCGAGAGAGAGAGAGAGAGAGAGAGAGAGAGAGAGAGAGAGAGAGAGAGAGAGAGAGAGTGTACAAGATTGCATCACCTTATAAAACCTAGCACTAATAACAGCACAGACTGCAAATAGGAAAGAATAAGGTCAGTATGAGTAAAAGTCAGAGGAAAATAGTAGAATAACTGAAGAAAGGAAATAAAATACAAAAATAACATACTTTGATCTTCCACACCCATTATAAAAGACATATATGACATTCACTTACCAGTTTATGGGTAATTATCAATAATAACCATGAAATCAATAAGCAGAGATAATCATTCTTTTCTTTCTTTACTGTATGTGTGGTGATGTATGCTCTATGCTATAATCCCTAATCCAAAACTATTTCCTGTCATAATTTTATACCTCTTGTTTTTCCCTCCCTTATGTAGGTTCTGCTGGTTAGTCGTCACAAGTACTTTTCGCACATTTTGGGGATGAAAACAGCATTGATTTTTAACACACCAAAACTTTTGTATTAAGTCCAATGCACTTTTGTTATTAGACACACAGAATGCTGAAAACTACTATCAAACTACCTTTTAATGGCAAGTGAAACTTAGAATTTAATTAGCAATTTAATTAGCAATTAGTCAATAACTTGTTCAGTTTTCATAGATGTACAGCATTAATCAATGAAATATAGTTGTATGCCTGGTGCTGGCGGGCCTGTGAGGTTGTACTCACCGCTGAGTGCCCTTGGTAGCCCCAGGTCTCTGGTTGAGCCGGTGGCTGCAGCAGTCCACCATACGTTTGAGGATGTACAGACACTCTCTGAAGGTGGAGAAGAAGGGGTAGTGGCTCAGCATGCACAGCGACGTCAGTGTGCTGTTCCGGTTCCGTGATGTTGCCCTGCTGCGCTTCGGCCGGGGTGATTTCCCGCCAGCCATTTCACCCGGTGGCACCACACCATCACTGGCTGAGGGTGCTGTGGAGTCTCCTGATAGAGACAGCGTAGAGGGGTCTGACTTCTCCGTGGCCTCGACTGCAGGGTCTGTCTGTGGGGGCTTGTCTGTTCAAACAGGAGAATGTCACAAAATTAGCCACTGAAGATTCAGATGTCGAGTGTTCTTGTGCCTGATGAACTACATTGTAAATCCACGTTTAGCTTGTAAAAACCTGCCAGTGTTACAGTGTTACAGCTGTTTTCCTATTTGAGAAAAAACTGGGGAAAACTAACAGAAAGACCAGTGTTCGAAACCTAAACACTGCATGATTATTAACAGAGTCATTATAAATGAGGTGACCGGTCACTGGTTGAAATATGAACAGGAATGCTCTTAACGCTAAAATGGCGTCTGTTTGCGGAGAAAGTTCCGCCCTTCAATAAAAAGAGCCAATCAGCTTGCTGGTTATTTATAGACATGTAAACAACAATGTAAAACACATAATGCAAAGGCTGAATTAATGTGTTATTTGTTTTTCTTACAGTAGAACAGAATAGTAAAATAGGTCTCCTTTAACTTTCATTAAATTCTTGTCAAATACTCTAACAGCTTACTAAAGACTATGGGGCATTTAAAAAGTGTTACAGAAACATGTCTAAAATCTAAACATTTGGATTTACTGTATAAAAGCCTTGTCTTACAGGAAACTTAAACACTACATAAAGCAAACGAACTGCTTTGTCTGATATTCCCAAATGGTGTGACAGTAAACTAAGCTTTACAAACATACCACTCACCCTTCACCATACCTAGGTTTCCTTTATTTGAACACTTAGACAACAACTACATTACTATGTATAGCTAAAGCTTTTAATTAATTATTTGAAATCATAACCACTGACCTTTACCCTCTGCCCGTGGGCGGTGATGGCCCCTCTGGAAGGATCGGTAGAAGTTGACGCAGATGCCGTAGCGTGTAACACCCGAATCCTTGTCAGTGAGCGTGAAAACAAAGGAGGAGTCATCACGGAGGCTGACCCGGCGCTGCCGGATACTCAGACAGCCCTCAGGCTGGCAGAAGAACACCACGTCAGGTGGCAGAGGGAAGTCCGCATGATCCTCCAGAGGGTAGCGCCTCAGCAGCTGTGGTGTCTGAGCCACACTGTCACTACTGGGCTGCCTGGTAGATCAAGACAGACAGGAGAGTGAGGGATGAATAGGGAGTGACACAGACCCCAAAAATACAGCAAGTTCACCTTTATTAAAATTTATTAAAAAAGGGCCCTTTTCCTGAAGAGAGATTAATCTTAAACTTGGACTAAATGTAGCTGTTATTATTGAATTTTCCACTGAAAGTCATTTTTCATGTTTAATCTGGATCTAAACTACCAGAGCTAAAGTCCTTACAGCACATTCAGTTTTTCAGTTCAACTGCATGCACAAACATCTTTGCTTATGCTCCACCCTTGTAATTCTTTAACCTAATGACCTTGTCCAGCCTGTTGTTAGAAATACATAGAATAGAGGTCTGATAACGCATAGTACAAACACATTAACCTCACTGATAGTATGCAGCCACGAGTCTCCATTCAGTTCTAGAGCAAAGCACTCTAACTTGGCATACACCTCAGTTAAATACCTCACATTTATTTCCACTGATTCACACTTACTTGCAAACAGCCAGGTCTACGCCCAAGATAAAAATGATGGATCTTGGCACACAGTAGACACAATCAACAAAGAAGGTAGCCAAACATATAAAAAAAATAAAATAAAAATAAAAAACACGTACCTTGCTCCAACTACCACCAGGTAGTCCAGGAGGCGGGGACACATTTTCTTTTTCTCCATCTCTAAACAAGCAGTATTTCTAAGTCATGGCAACCGTGACAATAAGCTCTCTTCACAGAAGCTGTCCAATCAGGAGGCAGTAGAGCTAGGAGCAGGCTGACCTAAAGAAGCAGTAGCCAATCATTGCGCTGAGAGCCATACAGTAATGGATCCTCCTGGAAGCAGAGAACAGAGACAGGAAACATTATGGAGGTGATCCATCATAGTCTGATTACTGCAGCAGAACCAAGTCTCCTACAGCGTCACTGCAAAGGCCAGAACTGGAAAAAAACAGATTACTCTGCATTTGCATTCTTTACTTACATTACAGGCTTGTAAAAATGCAATAGAAGACATTGTTGATATCCACCTACCAAAAACAAATATTGCACCAGATAGTATATCTGACTTTGGTGGATGTGCATCACAAAAGAGATATTACACAGAGGCTCTTTAGATGAACATTACATGAGACAACTCAGGAAAAAAATAATTTATCAGTACCAATCAGACATTTTTTCTTTAAAAACAACTAATACATTTTAATATGAAATGCTTCTCATTGAAGACCTTCACTTAATATGTGCATCTAAAAGAAGCCTGTCATGCTTAAACTACTAAAAGAATCCACTACCCCACAGTAAGAAATACACAGCCAACAACATGACGAGGGACAATGTGAGTATGTGCCATTTCAGGCTAGATTTGCTACAGGATTGAATGAGAGTCATCATTTTTTCCCTTTTGACATCCCACCCAGAATTTTCCAATAGCGACACCCATTAATACAGATACACCATGTCTAGCTTAACAATGAGTAGCTGGTAATTTTTAAAATAACAATGTATATTTTAAATTCTCCTATGGTAAGCCTGACAGAGCCTAAAGGACACCCATTTAAAAGCACTGTTTGCCTCACAATGCTTATATATAAACTAGGGCTGTCAAATGATTAAAATAATGTATTATCATGAACACATTATTTTGTGTAGTTAATTGCAGTTAATTGCACTTATCTTATTTGCTTAAATTTGAATATGAAGGAATATTTTTTACATTTAAAAGGCAGCAACATTTGTTGTGACTACAGTGCTGTGAAAAAAGTATTTGCCCCCCACCCGATTTCTTCTATTTTTGCTCATTTGTCACATTTAAATGTTTCAGATCATTCAACTAATTTTAATATAAGATAAAGACAGCAAAAACACAAAATACAGCTTTTAAATGATCATTCGTTTTATTGCGATAAAGATTTATTTAAAACCTATACCACCTATGTGAAAAATAACTACCCCACTGTATCTAATAACTGGTTGTGTAATACCTGCAATAAAATGTTTACAATAACTTGCAATGAGTCTCTTACATCACTGTGGAGGAATTTTGGTCCACTCTTCTTTGCACAATTGTTTTACTTTGGCTACACTGGGTGGTTTTTAAGCATTAAATGCCTGTTTAAGGACTTGACACAGCAAATCCGCGAGATTTAAGTCAAAACTTTGACTCGGCCACTCCAAAACCTTAATTTTGTTTCTTTTGAGCCATTCAGAGGTGGACTTGATTGTGTGCTTCGGATCATTTTCCTGCTGCATAACACAACTGCGCCTGAGCTTTAGGTCACACACTGATGGGTAGAAATACTCATTCAAGATTTTCTGACAGAAAGCAGAACTCATGGTTCCATCAATTATGACAAGTTGCTCAGGTCCTGCAGAAGCAAAGCAGCCCCAGGCCATCACACTACCACCACCATGTTTGACCACTGTTATGATGTTATTTGGTGGAATGCGGTGTTAGCTTTACGCCAGATTTAACAGGACCCATGTCTGGGTCTAACTTATCAGTCCACAGAACATCATCCCGAATATCTTGGGGGTCATTTAGATGTTTTTTTGGCAAGTGCAAGATGAGCCTTTGTGCTTCACCACTGTTCCAGGTTTTCTCCCTTTTCAGACTGGTAGATTTCAATGACTCTGTTTCGCATCTGTATTTGAATCTCTTTAGAATGTGGCATTATGTGCTACTTTTTGAGACCTTCTAGCTGCTTCACATTGCCAGACAGGTTCTATTTAAGTGATGTTTAGATTAAACAGGTCCAGGAGTAATCATGCCTGGGTGTAGCTAGTGAAACTTAACCCAACAGTCAATTCAATTTGATTAAACGGTTGATTTAGTAGCTATGGGGGCAATTACCTTTTCCACATTCGGCCAGGTATGGCTGAGCAGCATTTTTCCTTCAATAAAGAAAATAATCATATAAAAACAGCATTTTGTTTAGATGGGTTATCTTTGTCTAATATTAACAATAGTCTGTTCTGAAACATTCAAGTGTGACTTTTACAAAAAATAGAAGAAATTGGGAAGAGAGCAAATAATTTCTCACAGCATTGTACATATAGTGTTTACAAGAGTTCACATGAATTTACAGTTTCCACCACCAAAATCCAACGAGCCAACAGTGGCTGTATGTTCCAACTAGTCCGTGACTGTAGCCCTTTCAGTGTCAAATTGCTACGTTAGATCTTATTTTAAGGAAAACTGTAGGTTTTTACTTTGCTGTTCCTTTTATGAGTTTGCTGCACATTGACATAACTATAATTCTCCCGCAAACACTGTCCAGTAAGCCTATTGGTGCTAACACTGCTGAAATTGCCAGAATCAGTGGTGAGTTTTGCTTATAAATGGGACTTCAGACTCAACGTAAATCGGTGATTAACAAATTTATCATGGTAGTAGAGGGAAGCAACTTTGTTTTTTTTTTGTTTTTTTAAAGAGCACCATCAACAGAATGGAAAAATGCATTAATGGCATTTAAAAAAATAGCTAATAATTTATTGATATTTAATTTGACATCACTAAAATAAAACTGTGCATGTTTTTGTGTTTAATAAGATCCATTTTTGTTTTTTGCCCTACTCTACTAAGGATCAAAACAATTAGTAGTTTAGCCCATCACTAATATAACTGATGTTTCACAGCTCTAATAAAAACACTGAACCCCAATTTTTCTTTAACACACTCCCACTCTAAGCAGCACGTGCAAGAAGCTCTAACTCTATCTAACATATTTTAACAGTGGGCTTAACAGCAAATGTAAACATGCACACACATTCATACCCCACATGGGTTTGACATGTGTGTTTAAGATCCATCAGCAAATGCCTGCATGAGAGCCAAAACAAATACAGTCACCAAACAAACAATACATGATGTTCAATGAGAAGTAGGAGATCATTAACAAACCTTTCACAATATATCTTGAGCCTTTTGTCAGTTTCAGATAAAATTTCTATTTGAGATCCCAGGACAAAAAACAAACGTGTTGTTCAGGCACAGATCTGTTTACTGTCTGATTACCCATTCTTAAAGTCACAGACTTTTATCACGGCCAAAGATCATAAGAATAACAAAAGAACATGCATTCATGACATGTGCCTTACGCCAGGCACAGACTGCACACAGCTTTAACCTATGACAACACCAAACATAGCCTATGGCCTACTTAATCTACAATGCAGAGCAGTCTTATATAATGTAAAATGTAAATGATACGGTGCCTATGCATGGGTTTCTCTGCCTCTCTCAGGTTCCCTGTTTAATTGGGTTAGCATTTATATCCGAATCTGAACAAACACACTTGCAGCACATACAGACGCATACAGTTCTGAAGAGGACTATGTTGCACGCTAAGTACACAGGGTTTTTGCTTAGTGGGCCCCTTTCTCTTAATACTTCTGAGACGCAAGGGTTCGAGGCTAGAAATCACCCAGTGTTATGCAATATCATACTCAGTTGGGAAGAGCCAGGACCATCTGACCACGCTTAGCAGCAGAAAGAATTAGGGACACATGGAAATTGCAGCCACTGAAAATTTTCAGCTGAAAACCAAAAGTATTATTTTTGATCATTTTTGATTCGATTTCTGAAAGATTTTCAGTGGCCAAAGAGAAAAACAGACAAAACTTGACTGAAAATGAAGATGAATTAGGTACATAAAAGACATAAAGAATCTAAAATTTTGCAAATAATTTTAACGGCAATAGAAATGAGAAATAGTGATTAAAAAGGTTGCCAGTCAGCGCAGACACTTTCAAACAGTTTGAGCAACAGTGAAAGGAGTGAAAAAAACTGTCCATGTGGAACTATTTCACAAGGGACATTAGAGAAGCAATAATTATCTCCTGCTGAACATGAAGAGGGAGTACAGCACCTGAGAACTTCTCCACTGCAAGTCTGAAAACACAACACCCAGCTCATTATGCAGAATACAGCAAAACAATACAAATAGAAAGGAAAGTCATTGCTAGCACGCGAACACCCTCTATAGCCTTAGTTTTTTTAAATGATAGTAAAATTCACAAACAACAGTGTCAAAAATACTACAAAAAAATAATGGAATTCACTGCCAAACAACCAACTGTTCTCTGTTCTCAAGGATATTGTGGCACATACTGAAGCCAACATACTATAATCATTTCAGTAAGTGGAAATCGTTTTTATTGTCAGATATTTTTTTGGTTTTCAGAAAAGTGTGTCCAGAATTTTAGTTTCGGATTTGGTGACGAATTTTCTTTCAAGTGCATCACTAGAAAGACTGCACTGAACCTTTTCCTCTCAGCAACAAAATCCAACAGTTTTACATAACCTAGAAAAAAAGCTACCTGGGTGGCTGTAACGAATTCAGATATTATGCAAACCTACACTGCAAATGTTTATATGAATGTGTGGGTTTGTGGGGGCTTGGGGGGGGGTGTTCAGGGGAGTTTGTGTGTATGTAGTGACAGGATTGTGCATCATTTGATATATTAAAACAAAAGGACACAAAAAAGAAGAGAGAGAGAGAGAGAGAGAGAGAGAGAGAGAGAGAGAGAGAGAGAGAGAGAGAGAGAGGGGTTCCTTTTTTGAGAAAGAGTTCATAAATATATTCATCAGGATGCTTTCAGAACTAATTTATATGCAAAGCAGAAAATGCCAGCCAACTCATTTTTTATTAATAAAACATAAACCATGAAGAATTATGGCCATTATGAATCAGGTCAGAACGAACACATCAATGTGTCAAAACACCTGGACAGCTAGGACTGTGACTGTGTCCTTGTCGGTGAGAGTGAAAACTGTGATAGTAATAAAAATTTATGTTTTAATTTGAATGTATTGCAAATGGTGGATACTTTTA